GAAAGGACGCTTGTATACACCTAGCAGTAACATTAATCCCATATACCCTACCCTATATGATTACATTAAAAACCCTTACCAATCATTGTGTACATGCGAACCAAGATTAGTTTGATTTGAAAGTTGTGAATACTTTTGACTAAAGCAATTTCTAAAAGAGAGATCGCTTGAATCAAGAATGCAGCTTGTTTATGTTCAGTGTAGAGATCTAAAAGAATATGGCTGGCCAATATAACGAATTCATCACCATATTGCATTTCAGTTTTTTCTAATCCCTCACCAAGAGGAAGTGCGTCTTGGTATTCCGCCCACAATTCATTGACGATGGCAAGACCCTGTTTGATTTCGGATTGAGGATGAAGACCCAAGAATCTTTCTAACTTTCTAATATTGACGTTCTTGTAGACGTTTTTGACAGTTGCATTTTTGTCTGTAGCAGGTTGAATCGTGTTTTTGAGATCATCAATAAATTTCTTGGATTTGCTTGCATCCGATCTTAAAAACACAATGTAAGACTGAAGATCCTCAAAAGCACAATTTTTACTGCCAAAACGACCAAAGTAACATACAAGGTTTTTCAAAACAATCTCTTCATCTAGCAGTCCGCATTCTTAATACATCAATATTAAATATGATCCATATATAAATATCGCTTTTACCTTTTCTTCCAACCTTTTGTAATCTATAATTTAAATCAAGTTCTGCCAAAAATGGACCTCTCTTTAACAAGTTGCCCTCTAAAACAGCTTTTTTGGAGTTTTCTATTAATCGGTAAGCGCCTTCAATTGTATCGACAGCCTTTGTTTCATCCAAAATTAAGGCATCCACGGCATCGAAGTAAGCGAGCCACTGAAACCAATCATCGGCATTTTCCTTTTCCAAAGCATCTTGGCTCATCTCAATGACACTTTCCCAACGCTTGTTTTCACGAAGTAATTCTGACTTGATTTGACGTACCTCGGGATCACGAAGCGAAGTTTGACCAAGTGAGCTGTCTAAGAGTAAAGAAAGGGCTTCTTCATTCTTGTTTTGATCCAATAAGATAAGCAGATAAAGACGCATGTGCTCCACTTCTTCTAAACGCTTTTCTTCCAATGCCTTTGCCATCATGCGTTCAGCTAATACATATGACAACTTGTTTCCACTTTGTCCCTGAAGGGCTAGCGACATAATGGCCCAAAACAGATATTTGTTTTGCTTGAATACTCGATGTAATTTGACAGCTGCAGCTTGTTGTCCTTTGAAATCGTTGTTTCGGACCATGGCCATAAACCAATGATTACCGAATTCTTCATTCTTGGGTTGTAAATTGGCTGCGTTTTCGTATAATTCAACAATAACGGAATCTACAAACATTCCCAAAATGACGTTAATTTTTTCCAAGTTTCACAAAGCATTTTCGGGTTTGAATGCTTACGCTTTCCAAGTTCTTTCAAAGACATGGTGACGGCTTGTAAAGTTGCCTCGTCGGTAGGAATGGCTTTTTTTATTTGGTTACATAACTCTAAAGCTTCTTCTTCCTTGCCAGTGCGAACATACACAAGGGCTTTCAGTGCCTAGAAAGAGTTTTGTTTAAATACAGGAACAGCAATGCATGCTTCCAAATGGCCTTTTTTTTTGTAGCCTACCTTGACCAAAGGCCAATCGGGAGTCTTTTTCAACAATTTAGCACAATGTTGAAGGGCCATTCTATTTTGACCTTCATCAAGAGCGTCTATCTGGCATTGTTAACAAAAGCGGCGAGGATATAATATAAGAGCGAAAAGAGAGAGAGAGAGAGAGAGCTTACCATAAAGAGGTCGTAACTTCTTCTCTGTAGCGTAATCTAAAGACATGATGTAGTGGACTACGAAAATAAAAGCTAAAAAGACAACGAACGCGAACATGGTATTCAAAGAAATGTTATAATTTTTTAAAAAGGAGATTCAACCGTAAAATCAAAGCCACTGCAAGAATGGGGGAATTTTATTTATTGTGGGAATGGGAATAAGGATTTTTTTTTGATCTTTTTGCCTGGAGGGGTAAAGATATCTTTGGTTTGTTTGATTGTTCGTTTTTCTTGTACTCTTTTCGCTATACCAGCAAACTGGTCCATGATATTATTTTCGACACAGAATTTAGTGACGACTTCATCGATATCCTCGTCCTATTAAAAAAAAAAAGGTGTTAAATAAGAATTTGATTGTTTAAATTTCTATCAAAAACTTACATCCTGAACAGCCAAGCTCTTCATTTCCTTGCCAACAAGAATCTTCATCTTGAATGGTTTTCTTTTCTTTTCAGTGATGGAAGAACCATCTATTTCGTTTTTTGTTGGGGGTTGAGGAGAACTGGGGGTTGGGATTGTCGTTTCGACATGACTGGTGATATCAGTTAAGCTTGTTTCGTTCATATTTAAGTCAGCGGGAATTTCTGGTGTAGTAATTTTAGGAAGTGTATTTTTTTCTTCTTGTGGTTGAGGTATATTAGCAGACAATACACCAGGAGAGTCAATGCTTACAGAAATAGGAGGGGTTGATATGGGTTGAGGATATGTGAAGGAAGGAATCGATTCTTCAAAGTCGACCAAATTATCGTTACTCTGTTGTTGTTCCTGCATTTTAATTTCTGTATCAGTAATGGTACCAGGCACTGTGTTTACAAAGTGGAGTAATGGTTCCGCCTTATCTTGAACAGGAGGCTCTTTAGGTAATACTTCATGATTACTCCAATCAAACACTTCGGCTGATGCCCTTTTGGTAAGTGGAACTTCTTGAGGTATTAATACATGACTAGCAGTAGGGGGTCGACTTGGCATAATGTCAAGTGTACTAATGGATTCCCATACATCGCCTTTTAGGGCAGGCCCCGATGAAGTCTCAGGTATATTATCGGTATCCACCAAGACAGCAGAGGATGATGGCTTAACATTTTGACTCGGTGAAACTGTAGTTGCACGAGAAGAAGGCGAATTAGAAAGTTCACCCCAGTTACCTGGCATATTTGCGGGAGGAATTGAGTCACGACCTTTACGAGCAGGACGTGAAAATTTGGGACGGACAGAGGCATTGGCCGAAAGACTGGACCATTTGTTTGTAGCGGTTTGATCTGCAATAACTATAGAAGGATGAGTATCTAAAAACTAATCAAAGAAAGAAATGTAATTATACCTTCTGGGGAAAAGTTATCTTGCCAACTTCCTTTACTCGGGGTCTGGGTAGGAGTGTTATTTTGTGTAGACTCGGGAAGGGAGTTTTTAAGATTATTCCAATCCTCTTCGTTAGCCATCCATCTTGAGCGTACAGGATTTACAGCTTTGGATTTTTTATCCACAGAAAACTTTTGTGTAGCCTTGTTCGTACTCACTTTTATGGCGGGTGCAACCGAGACATCGTTCCATGACACACTTCCGTCCGAACTGACAAGGGATTCTGATCTTGGTCGAGGAATATTCTTACGATTATCGACCTTTGAAATAGGGTTGCGAGTGTTGGTTGTATTTATGTTGTTAGCGAGATCTGAGAAGAGCATAGGAGGAGATCCGGGTGTTGTGTTACCACTTGATCCGACAACCGTTGTATCATTATCATAATCAGTGGAAGGGCCATTGGATGAATTTAAATTGATATATTCCTCACCATTCCAATAGCTTGTCTTTTTTTGCTCTTCAATGACTTCGGCTACAAAGCCTTGTTCCTTCACATTATGCCAAGGTACATACTTATCAGTCGAACCCCAACCATCACTTTCTGCAACGGCAGGACTATTACGATAATGATTTGTTGAGCGTTTTGGTGTGACCTTTGTGTTGTTGACAGTGAGACTATTTTGCTGCCATTGATCATTGTATTTTTCTGCAGTAAATCCAGCCCAGACATGTGTTCTTGATTTGCGCTGCTCTTGAACAACAGGGGGAGATGGTGTTCTAACAGCAGTAATATGATGATGATTCTTAGGGTTCGGATCCCATGGTTCGGTAGCACTTGATCCCCATCCTCCTAAGGTGGCCTTGATTTCAGAGCCTGTATTTAATACAGCCGGATTTGATGCCCATTTGTTGGTATCTGTGTTTGTCAAGTGAGACGAGGTTTCGTACTCTTCTTCATCCTCCTCCGTAACATCTCTACTCTCGTCCCTACTATCGTCTCGGCTGTCATCCGTTTGCTCTTCTTCCTCATTTCCATTAGAATTTGTTTCGTCGGATCCACTTTCTTCGTAGCTTTCATTGACATCATTATGCTCCAGATCTTGGGACCAGAGTGCAGGCGTAGTGGGACGCATATTAGACGCCTGACCTTTTAAAGCGAATACACGATTGGATGGTTTATCACCTAAAGCGTAATCTAAAAAAATAAATTAATAATTCACACGTACATATTTTGATAAATCAAAACTTACTTGCAGAGGAATCAAACGTAATTCCCTTTGGACGACTAACAGACTTCATTGCCGCTTCGGATTCTTCCTCAAAGTTATCCAACAGGTCCATAAAATCAGCCAAGTCCATTTTAAAGTGTTCGGCCAAACGTACCAATGTACTACCATTCACAAGACGGTCTTCCGGGGGAGGACACAATTCTGGATCGGTAGTGTGAGATATAGCATCGATAGAGCGACGATTTAAAGTAATCACAGATAAGCCTGGGAAATCTTGATTATTAGGGAGAGCTTCATTATAATTTCCAATCACTGTTTGTTGGATATCATCATAATCAACAAGGCGGATTTGTCGAAGGTTATGGTTGGAACTGCTACAACAAAGTTGATAAATATCCTTTGGATCTACGGGTCCAGATGAGCCTAAATGGACTCGATAGAGTGATTTCGCTATACCAGCTATTGTTGAGAATGCCCGTAATATATCTGAGCCTATATTTGGACAGTTGATAGATTGAAAAATATGAATGAATTTGTTTTTGTTGAAACATTGTTCAATCGCTGTAGTTGTGAGTTGAGGACAGTTCTTAAAACCGACAGTTTGTACTAATGACAAATAGGGTGATAGAGTGAGCAATTGATTGTAATCCAAATTCATGTTTTCCACCAACAGACGACAAGGAAGGGCAGATGAATTATTATAAACACTGCTATTGAATGTCGAAAGAGAAGAACCATCAAGTTCATAGTTAAGAGAATCAGGATGAGCACGCATTTCAATGCTGTTCAAGTCTGGACACTGTTTCAAGGCATACAGGATTGACAGGGCGGTAACACGAACACTGCCTTCTAAACAGAATCGAGTTAAGCGGGGGAATGCAGCCAGTACGTTCATCACATAGTTGTCAATCATCATTGCTGCATCGGTGAAGATGAGACTGGTCAAGGCAAGTTTTCCAGGTGCGCTTATTTTTTGCAGGACGTCTACATTGATACTCTTTAAGGAGAGTTGAAGTTCAGTAAGATGCGTAGCTCTGTTGGCAAGAGAAACTGCCCATCTGACATCCAAGCTAAAATCACCGTCGAGACGTAAGCTGGTCAAACGGGAGAGTAAATTGTTGAAAGCAAGTTGATGCTTGGGTCTGGTGCTGATAATATACAAGCTGGTCAAGTCTTGCGCAGTAGAGGCGAGTATATCTATGAAAGCCGAATCCAAATTTCGTCCATAAACAGTCAAAGACTTGAGATTTTCACACGATTTAATCATACGAGCAATATGGAGTGGTTTGGAAAGCACCGACTCTACTGAGTGTCGCTCTAGTGTGGACCTTACGATGGGTTCAAACAAAGTCTTTTCATGATCTGCAAAAGCCAAGTACAAATCACGAACCAAGAGTGCCGTTTTCTTGTTCTCCTGTACACTGATTAAAAAACGACGGAAGTTTATAGGTGTCTTGAAGCGAATCCTTTCCCACAGGACATTTTGCGCTGCTGTAGTCCATTGGCGATGGATGAGGCAGGCATTATATTTGTCGCTCAAGTTTTCCAAGTAACGACAAATATGCTCCATTACACTGTTTGGTAAGGACAAGAAGCGAGCTTCATGCTGTTCTTCAAAGGTGAAATCTCCCCAGCCTTCATCCATGTTTTTCATTTTTTTACAGAGAAAAAAAAAAAAGAAGAAAGAAAAGAAAACAGGACTGTAAAAAAAAATTTTTGGGTTTAAAAATGATTGATTTTTAAACAATGAAGTGATATTTTTTTATTATAATTCTAAAAGGGGGAGTTTTGTGATGCAGAGAGAGAGAGAGAGAGAGAGAGAAAGGGAGAACAAAGAAATTAATTAAAGGGTAAAAAATCTTTTTTTAGTTAGTTTTTTGAGGGAGGTGCAACAGCGGCAGCAGGAGCTGTACGATGTTGTTCGGCAGTACTCAAGATAGTCATGATTTGAGCTTGTTGTTCAGGATTTAAGTCCTTAGTTAAGAGAGTATAAGAAGCAGTATTGTTTTGCTGCATATTTCTAAAGACTTCTTCGAAGCGAGTATAAGGATCAATTTCATCTAAAGGTGATTCAAATAAGATTTCTTCTTCAATTTCATCTTCTTCGTCTTCATATTCATCAAAATCATTATTTTCTCCATTGTGTGATGCTGCTTGACTAGCAAGATATTCAAGATATTCGTTGTCTTCATCAGGCACATCATCATCTTCTGCCTCTTCAAACTCTTCTTCATCTCCACTAGCACCTTCAAATCCACTGAAATCATCTTCTCCGAAATCATCTTCATCATAATCTCCATATAACTTCTCCATGTTCTCACGGTTTTCCATAGCCTTGGGTAAGGTTTGGAACACGGTAATCAAACATGACAAAATTTGCGACCAACCGGCTTGAAGCGATGTAGGAATCATTTCAGTGGGTAATTCTAACAAGGCACAAATAGCAACAATAACTAATTTCTTATCATGAACACGAGAGAATTTAGAGAGTGTTTGGAACCATAATGTAAAGAATCCTTGAGTCCAATTATTTTCTTCCAAAAGACGGAGTGTCAAGACAGGATTATAATAGATACAGTTAACAACGACCTCAATACAGTGAACCTTGAATTCAGCAGTCTTCATAGATCCAGTAAAGATGTATTGGAATGCTAAATTGAGGAAAGGACCGACACATTTATCTACATGACCACGACAGTTCAATAACACAGATTCCATAAGTTTACATGCACAGATACGGTCGGTTTCGCCAACACGGTCACTCTTCATGACAGTATCAATAATATCAAACATCATGTTTTGGACATGTTCGTTTGCAACAAACACATCTTTACCGTATGAAATGTAGTTATCCAAAGGTGGCAGCATTTCATCCATGTAATCAATACCGGAGTCCTTGAAGGCACCATAGATCAACTCAAATACGCTCCACATAGTAGGTGTAACACGCTTAGCAGAGAATGTACAAGAATCGATGATTTCGAAAATTTCGTCATATAAATCCAAAATCTTATTTTCTAAAGTATATGTGATGACCGGTAAAAGCGCATTTTCGAGTTGTTGAAGAATTTCAGGTGTACTTTCGAGACTGAGAATTAAAGTACCGATGGTCTTTAAGACACCCATAGCAGCCATTGTCTTGTCGCTTAATTCATCAATATCTCCAGTGAAATCATCATCATCAGCACTGTTTAATGTGTTGCTTTGGTTTAATTCCTCCATGATACGTAAGAAAGTGTCACGTAATTGAGTACAGAGTTGGACGGCAAAAGGTGTTAATTGTGTAGCAAAAACTTCGACAAATTCTTCCATCACGTTAGCTAAGGTATCAATATCAATTTCGTTGGTCAAATTCAATAATTCTTGCATGATAAAAGGAAGGTTAGGAGCCATAGCGTTACGAACACTTTCATGACGAATCATGGGTTGAAGGGCAAGAGCGGCTTGGACCTTGACGGCTAATTCTGTGTCACGAATACAATCAGTAACAGATTGATACAAGGTAGCCAAATTTTGCTCATTAGCGAAATCCAAATCACTGAAATGTCTAGTCAAATCACAGGCGCGAGCTCTCAAGAAGGGGTGTTTGCTCTTGAATTCGGGGAAGACATGGGTGACGAAGAAAGGTTCCATCATATTAGCAACGGGAGATTTCTTTTGCAAGACTTGGTAAGATAAACCACCAATCATACAGAGAGCACCATCCTTTTCTTTGGGATCTTTTTGATCTTCGGGTGCTTCCAAATACTTGTTGAGAATACCATTTACAAAGTTCAAGATGCCCATGAATGTATACTTCTTACGGTCGCGAGCTAAATCAATCAAGAAATTCATGGCATTGGTTTGAGGTGAATGGAAATCTTCCAAGGGATCAACCTTTTTATGCACAAATTCAACTGGATCTTCATCCCAAAGTTCTTGATCTTCTTCAGAGAAACAAAGTTGAGGGAAAATAAAGTGTGCCACTAAAGTTTCCACATGGGGCTTCAATAATTGCCAGGTGCCCTTATTCTTGACACAATCAGCGAAGAAGGAAGAGGTTAAAGCCAAACACTTGCTGGGAATCCAGATTTCTTTCTTGATCCAAAGTTCAATTTGTCCCAAATAAGCGCCAACAATGTTAGGTGCGAAATTAGCAGAGAAACCCTTGGCAAATGCATTGTATTCAGGAGTACTACGAGGCATAGTAGCAGGGTTTCCATACTTGGAGAAAAGACGGTTGAGACAATGGTAAGCCCACTTCTTGGTCTTCCACCAAGGATATCTCTCACGTTCATCAGCATCAGTAGGTAAAGCTTCGTTGGGGATCTTCTTTTCAATTAACTGCAAGAACAATGTACCCCAAGGAACAAGAGAGGAAGGATCTTGAAGACTCTTGGGGAATTCGGTTTGAATACCAGAATGATAAATCTTGAGAGCCAATTTAAGCATCTCGGCAGCTTCAATGCTATCAGATGAAATAAGGTTGGAACAAATAATCTGAATAGCGGGGAATGTCAACTTGATGAGTTGTCTGAAAGGCTCACGGCGAGCACCAGTTCTCCATCTTTATATAAAAGTGTCAGTTTATGCAAATATACACACACACATACACCCACTCTCTCTCTCTCTCTCTTTCTATTTTTCCCTTCCGTATACTGTAATACTTACTGATAAACCTTGACTACTTCTCTCAAAGCTAATAATCCAACATATACCAAACGAACGTCGGTTGAGGTCAAGAGTCTTTCGAGCTCGCTGACGAAGTTGGGCCAGTTATCTGGGAAATCGTTTGTCAAAATTGTGTTTAAAGTGGAAGTAAGTTGAACTCTACAGGTAATATTTTATCAGTTCTGAGTTATATCGGCTTATTTTCCTCATTTACTTACTGGACTTGGTTGGGAGCAGTGACGAGAGCTTGAAGAATAGTTTGCTTCACCATGTTACGATCGTCATTATTAATTGGAACAGCAGATTCACGTTCTCCATCCCAAGCTTTGTTCAAGCGATTCTTGAAATAAATAGCAGCTATGACACTCCCCGTTTAATAAAAACTACAGCAAACTTATATTCACATGTTACTGCTTACCTGCTTGACGGGCACCTAACTCAAGTTCCTCAGAGGCGAGGATTTGTAAAACAATAGGCAAGAAACCATTGTTTGCCTCAATCTAAGTACCTGAAGTTTAAATATTTTTTTGTAGTTTTTGAGTATATTCTGTTTCACTTACGTTTCTAATGTTCAATTCAGCCTGCTTGTGAACATTAGGGTCAGGGTGGTATGTGGCGACAAATAACTGGTAAGCTGTATTCTGATCCATCTTGAGAATAAACTAAAACAACAACAACAAAAAAACTTTTTTTTTTGTACACCACGTCTGGAGTGACTGTTTCCCCAATCAAAAAGCCAATCAGGCACATTTTTTCTTTTGATCTTTTTGCTGCGTTCGGCTGAAGGGAAGGGAGTAGTCAGTGCAGAGAGCTATACTGATTGGCCGTGTCCAAACAATCAAAAAATAAATAAATTGCCAATCAATCTGTGGCATCCAAGTTTAAGACGATATTCAAGATAGGCTTCTTTATAAATTCGACTGAGAGCCGTGTTTCGTATCACATCATGTCACAGAATAATCAAGTGTAGCACTGTTTATGATATGTATTTAAGCAATGAAGAAATAGAGAAATCAGACTTTTCTTGTCCCATCAGTAAACATAGCTACAAACACAAATATTTCTATGGTTTCTGTTGCCACCTTTTAGGAAGGGACCCTTTATTTCACAGCAAAAACATTGCGGCGATAAAATTGTCTGACAATAAAATCCGAGTGTTGTTACTGATTCAATGTCTGTGTTTTACAGAAAAGAGATCAAGAACATGGCTTTTAAATAGGTGATATACATTCTTCTTGTCGTTATAAATTTTAGCACAGAACAAAAGCAGGAAAATGAATAATTCTACTTATAAGTATCGGCTGATGATCCATAATGAAAAAGACAAAATTTCCTTTTCAGGGTTCGTGTAACATTATAGCATTTCGTACCTTTGACGTACTTACATCATAAAAAAAAAAAATATTTTTCCTTTTTATTACATACCTTGAAGCACAAGAATTTGAATCTTTTTTTCTTTTTTTTCGTCCACTATTTTTTTTCTCTTTCTTTTGCTAATTTTTGGTTGATATTCTAATATGTCTTTCAAAAAAGATCGATTAGATGGGCAGCTTCAACAGCCAGAGACGTTTACAATACCAAATAATAATAACAGAGATAAAATTTTGCGTCCGCTCAAACCCGTCATTGAAAACAAGGAACTATCGACAGTTGGTGAGCCATCTATTACCCAGCAACCGCCAGATCTTGTTGTGCCTCAGTCACAGTCATACCAATCATTGCCAACACAAAGACAAAGCAATGTTAGTTTTATAAATACTAGCAGTAACAATAGTACAAATCGAAAAGGACGCCGTGTACTAAATCGATTTGAATCCGCACCTCAAGAGGGCTGGAAACTAATTAAGAAATGGGTAGGAAATAATCGACAGCAAAAGGAGATCAGTAAACAACAACAAACAATCAGCTTGGAGAGACAGGCAGAGATCAATACAATAACTCCCATCATCATGGCCATGTTTTTTATTAAAGACGAAGAGGACAAAAAAAGAATACCTGTATTCCTAAATAACATGACCGTCAAAGTGTCCAAACTGGAAGAGAGCGATGACGATTATTTCAACTCAAAGCGTAAAAAATTTCGTGGCACCATCTTTAGAATCACAGTTCATTATGGCACAGGGCCTGGAAAAATTACTTGGTCCGTCTATCGCAGATATTGGGATTTTGTCAAGCTACACTACAGATACAAGAAAAAATACAGCACAAGCACTCCTAATGGTACAAATACAATGCATAGTCGTGTAGGACTACCAAAGTTTCCTAGTCTACCAAGGCATCACTTTAGGAAACAACGAAAAAGAGATTACGAAAGCAGAGTCCCCATGAGTAGGCTGCCTACCACTACCAGCCAAAACAGTACAGGCAGAGACCCTGTGAACCAAGGAGACTCAGTCATGGATGAAGAAGCTGTCATGGCTCTTATGCAACCGGAAGATATACTTCAACATCAAGCGAGTACTCCCTCCGAGGTTGATCCCAGCATCATTTCCTCTCAAGTCATGGAAGTTGTGAAAGCAGACACAACTGTACTAAAAGCCATGGAATTGTATTTAAACCAATTTATTGCATCTATTGAGCCCAGTGGCTATATCAACAGACTCTGTAAATTTCTAGAGATCTCTGCTTTAGGCATTCACTTAGCTGCCAAATACCCCATCACCAGCTTTCATGGAAAGGAAGGCTTTGCTGTATTTCAAAGTAGAACAGATCGCGATCCCAAGCATTCACGCAAGTTTTTACAAGATGGATTTGTATGTTCTTTTCCTACTACAGGTGGTAGAAGAAGAAGAAAGCCTAAATGGATTATCGTGCGCGAAAGTTACGTGATTTGCGTTGATGACCCTAGCGAGGTAAGGGGAAACATACCTCCTTTCACACCTTATCTTACCCCCTTTCCCTTTTTCTACAGTGTGAAATCTATGACGTATTTTTATTTGATCAAGCATTTGATGTTCACAGACTTGCTAAATTTGGCGATAGATCAAATCATCATGTTCATAATAGCAAAAAGAAGTTTAGTAACGCTTTGGCTAATGCATCTCACTGGACATCTAAAAAATCAACCGTTTGTTTGAAAACGATGCAAGGCGTGTACCATTTTAGAGCTAAAAATGAGCAACAAGCCAAACAATTTGAAGCTTCAATCCAGAGTATGGCCAATAGGTCAGTTTGGCCCAAAGTGAATCGGTTTAAAAGTTTTGCTCCTATCCGCTGTAATGCCGCAGTAGCTTGGTTTGTGGACGGAAGAGATTACTTTTGGGATGTGTCTGTTGCCCTTGAAAATGCTACAGAGTCTATCTATATTCATGATTGGTGGCTGGTAAATACTAAATTTCATGCAAAGTATACAATTAATTTACTGAGCACCCTTTCTCTTTCTCTATAATTATTATAGTCACCTGAACTAGTAAGTGACACGATTTTTTAAAGTCTTGCAAAAGCAACTAATTAGCTTCCATAGTTTCTTCGAAGACCTGCTGCCCAAAATCTAGAATGGAGGTTAGACCGACTTTTAAGACGTAAAGCCGATCAAGGAGTAAAAGTCTATATTGTCATGTACAAGGAAGTGGCTATGGCATTGCCCCTATTCTCGCATCAAGCAAAAAGACACTTACTATCTTTGTCACCAAACATATTCGTGCAACGACATCCATCTCGTGCTCTTGATATCTTTAATAAGAATAGTATCTTTTTTTGGGCTCATCATGAAAAGATTTGTGTGGTGGATAATGAAGTGGCATTTATCGGTGGACTGGACCAATGCTTTGGGAGATATGATACGCCTGGGCATACACTGATTGACGATTTTGATCCGGAACTTGTCAGTACAAATGAGAATCCACAAGTATGGCCCGGTAAAGATTATTCCAACCCTCGTATTATCGACTTCCACACGCTGGATAAACCGTTTGAAGATAATATGGATCGATCCACTTTACCTCGCATGCCATGGCATGATGTATCCATGCGACTGGTAGGACAACCAGTTCGCGATATTTCTCGTCATTTTGTTCAGCGTTGGAATTTTCTGCGCAGGAAGAAACCTTCTGCTCCAAAACGGCCTACGCCCATGTTGTTGCCTGTACCCGACAGCTATAATAAGCACCTTGGAATTGATGATCCACGCATATGTCATCCACATACAAGTGAATCATGTCGTGTTCAAATTTTGCGCAGCGTATCTCCTTGGAGTATCGGTTCCATTGATCATGTTGAACATAGTATCCAGACGGCCTATGTTGAGTCTATTCATGATTCCAAGTATCTGATTTATATTGAGAATCAATTTTTTGTTACCTCAACCAAATCTGGATCGACAGTGATTGAAAATAAAATCGGCGATGCTATTTATAACCGTATCTTGCGCGCACATCAACTAGGTGAGGCATGGAGGGCAATCCTTATTGTGCCTCTTGTACCTGGATTTACCGCCAATGTGGATGAAACGGAAGGCACAACCGTTCGTATTATCATGCAACTGCAATACCTATCTGTGAGTCGGGGACCGGACTCCTTGATAGGTCGTTTACATGCAGCTGGAATTACCAACACACACGAGTACATTAACTTTTATGGGCTGCGAAATTGGGGTGAATTGAATGGTCAGTTCGTTACTGAACAGGTGTATATCCATGCAAAGGTATACATATAACAAGTTCTTCCCTTACCCTTTTACTCCTAACCCCATTTTTATCTAACTATCGAATAGACAATAATTGTAGATGATTGCAAGGTTATTATTGGATCTGCAAACATAAATGAAAGATCACAGCTAGGAACAAGAGATTCTGAGATTGCTGCCTGCATTGAAGATGACACGGATCTGATCGATTCTTTCTTTAACGGCGTACCGGTAAAAGTGGGTAGATATGCACACACTTTAAGAATGCGACTCATGTGTGAACATATTGGTTTGGATGTGGATCGAGCGGACAGGGAAAAATACAGCCAAAACGTAGCGAATGAACAAAGATACATGAAAGAGCCTGCCTGGCACAATTATGGTAATCGTGATAAGGATAAAGTAGATTGTATTCCTCCCTATATTGAAGTTACAGCGACTGATCAAAAAAAGTCGGTCGAAAAAAGCAAGATCCAACAAGAGGAAAAGGATGAAGTGTCTATGAGTGAATTAAAAATGTCTAACACAGGTGGTACTTCCGACAGTTCTGATACAGCTAGTCAAACATCGTCTAATAAAGGCATATTTCATGGAATCAAGCATTTTGCAAAAGAATTGCATTCGGATAAGAATCATCCCAGTCAACGAAAAGATACATTATCTCCCACATCATCCACAAACAACGATCACTTGACAATCCAGCCAGTCAACTCAAACGACAGCAACTCACAAAGTGCCAATCTGTTATCACCAACCAAGTCCATTTTTAGCAAGCGTAAGAGCACAAAAGAGGATTATGTCGAGTTTTGGACATCATTAGATTGTGACACGGACAACAATGGAGATGTAAAATATTCACAGGAGGAACTAGAGGAAAAGAATGCAGCATTTAACTACCCCGGGTACTACAATAGTGCTACGACTGAGCCATTAGTGATGGGGGATAAAACAGTGGGCGAAGTGTACCGCATTTTGCAAGACCCATTAACGCAAGAATTTCAGGAATTTTGGCACATGTTGGCAAGAGTGAATACGGATTTATTCCGTCGATCCTTTTTGGTTACACCCGATAATAATGTCCGAACCTGGGACCAATATCATCATTATATAAAGATGGCCAAGTTGTTTCTGGGACGAACAGACCCCAAGCATGGAGGGACAAAGACGACATCAGCAGCTGCTAATGTTACTGCTTTACCGTTAGAGAATATGGCGGTCGATACTATTGCAGATATTCTCAAGCATATCCGAGGTCATTTGGTGATATGGCCTATGCATTTTATGGAGGAAGATGACAATAACAACGAATTTTTGTTTCATGTGGATAAAATTGTGCCAGGAGAGATTTTTGATTAATTATAATAACATGTTATTTTATTTAACAAAAAAAAAAAAAAAATTATATATATACTAGAGATAATAATTAACAGTTGAAAGGAGAGAAAAAAAAATCTACAATGATGTTGTATGGTTTGATTTTTTTTTTTGTTTCATAAAAAGTATGTATAAAAAAGAGGAATTACAAGCAAAAAGAAATGAAAATCATATATATAGTTTTTTTTTTTCGGTTCAAAAATAAATAGAATGTAAAAAAAGAAATAAAAAAAAAAAGAAAGATCTTTCCCCTAATTTTTATGGAGAAATAGAATTGAGTCTTTTTTTTTTTTTTTTTTTTTTTTTTTTTTTTTTTTGAAAAAAAAAAAGAAAGAAAAGAAAGCATGTGTGTTATAAAGTATATAAATATAAGAAAAGCAACTAAGAGAGTACGAGTACGTTATTTTTTGGGAGTGATTTTTTTTTTGTAATGTTGCTTCATCGGTATTATAGTCGTCATATAAAAAAATGTTGGATTTAATTTTTTTTTGATTTTTTTGGTTTTTTTTTGTGTGTGTGGTAGTAGCAGCAGCAGCAGCAGCAACAACAATGATATTAGAACAAAGTTTGATGGTGAGAAAGTAAACTTAACGAACTTCCTGTTGTGTTTGTATTTGATGCTTGTTGACGTTGTTGAGCATAACCTTCATTTGAAGCCTCGTGGTACGCAGGATGTACAGGTGATGAAGTCGCTGAAGTTGACGAAGAGGAAGGAGATAATGATGGAGATGATGCGGCATTATTTGAAGGATAAAATAAGCTGTTACTACGAGGGGCAACAAATGTCATATTGTTGCTATGGTTATTGCTACTATTATCTAATAAGGGATAGTTTCCGTTTTGTTTTAATCCGTACTCCTGTGCATAATATACAGATAAAGCTGGCTGCATCATCATGGGTTGTTCCTCCATATCCGCGACCATATTACTTGATGAGGCGTACGTCATTGAATAGGGATGCTGTCTTGTGTAGTAATCAGCCTTGTTATCAGAGCTGTTACCGTTGAAGAAATTTGTGTTTCCAGTGGGGACTGGCATAGCTGCTGCCGCATAGTAGTTTTGTTGGGGATGCGATTGCCATGAGAGATCGATTGTTGAGCCAGCTCCATACGGAGACATCGATGCTTGTTCCTGTTGTTGTTGATGTTGTGCTGCGGCAGCTGCCATCATCATCATCTCTTCAGGATAAGAAGCAGAAGAGGCTGATGAACTAGAAGCAATCATGGAGGGTGCTCTTAAACGATTATCTTCTTCTTCAGCCGCGGAAGCTGTAGGCATCATCGAATAAGTAGGTGGTGTAGCGGGTAAAAAGATACCGAGTGATAATGGGCTTTGTTGACTGCCATTTCTACGAGAGATGCAGAATGGACAATGTCTAACAAAACGAGCAATCAATTCTTTTGGAATCCATGAATATCTTCTACGGACCTACAAGATAAAAAAAGTTAGCTTGGACAATACTATATCTCTGTATTTCACATACCAAGGCAGAGGTTTTATCTCTTCCTCCGTGGTGAGCTTCACGATGAGCACGAACTAAAATGCCGTATATTTGTTCACGCATAGCAACGGGTTTTCCATCATGGCAAACGATTTGTCTTGGGGTCAATTGAAACATTTTCTTGACCCAAAATCTGAATTGAGCGGTGGAAACTGCTGTATTACGAGGGTCTTTCAATACCTGTAAAATCATTGCATAGCGAGCTTGGTCAATTAAAGCCTTGTCTCTTTTTTTGGATGATAAATTCTGGAGATAATCTTGGACTATTGCGTCAAATTCTTCATATGAAGGGTATTGGTCTTGATCATTATAATGATGAGTGGTTTGTTGTTGGGATTGTTGTTGTCTTACAACGGAGGACGAATACGAGAGCGATAAAGAGTTGGATTGGTCCAGGTGGTGATTTCCAGCAGCATAGTCATCATTTGATGTTGAATTGGAATGGTGGTGATGGCCATAATTGCTTTGACTCATTAAAGAAGGCATCATACCATGTAACTCTTCTTGTTGTACCAAATTGATCGACATTTTGTATGTAATTTGTTATATATGTAAGCGAGAATGAAGAATAGAAAAAAAACTGTTATTTATAATATATAGATTATATATATATGTCCCCTTTAAAATAGAAAAAAAAAGCAAAAAAAAGAGAGGGAATTTAGAATGGAATGGGGGCTAATAAATAAAAGCGCGGGAAAGATTGAATAAAATAAGAAAGAAAAGAAAGAAAATAATAACAATTGTTATATTATATTTATACACAAAAAATGTTGAAGTGTATAATATGAAATAAGGGGCAACAGAGAAAAAGAGGATCCCTTACAAGAAGAAGGGGAAGTCAGAAAAGTCAAAAAAAAAAGAGGCTACAGGATACTCCCATATATGAAGAAAGGTATGTATCCTTTTTATTGACACGGCATGACGAAATGGGGGTCTTGTTTATTGGATAGAGCGTCTGTATCAGTGATAACAAATTGTGATATAAATACAAATCGGCGGCAGACCTGAAGGCATGATACATTTTAGGCTTTTTTCAATCAGTTTCCAAAATAGGGTTATAAGCAAGCATAGAATCCCTTTTTCTTTATTAATAGGATGGTGAATAGTAACAAATAAGTTTGTATCAATTAACATAAGACACTCTTTCTTCTTTCTTTTCCTTCCCCTTTATTAAGAACTAAAAGTGAAAGCTTAAGGGTCACTTTTGAGGGGTTCTATTCATCTAATAATATGTAGAATTCTCATATTCTACATGTGTGCTTACATCTTTTTTTTATTTACATATCCCCTCTTATTTTCTTGTTTGTATACACATTAACAATTATATGCAAATTTTGTATACATACACACTGGTAAGTTTGAATTCTTTAGTTTAAGATAAATTTAATCTGGCCCAGCCCTCATGCATTGTTATTAAGAAGAAAAAAGTTTGACCCGATTTCTATTACCGATTTTTTTTTAACTCACATGAGATTACTGTTATCATATATATATGACATTTATTAGCTGAAATTATAATAGGCTTTAATCTTTTGTCTCCTTAACAATCGAGAATTGACTTCCAAAAAATAAAGGGGATCTAGACTATTATGGATGGTTTTATGTCTGTGCTTTTCGTACACGTACACAATGAAGATTACACACAAAATAAAAATGCAGGGATTCACAATAAGTTTGTTAGACCCCTTCTTATCCCCCATATTATCACGCAGTCTATTTTATATTTGGGCATTCACTAGTATATGTTTCATCCAAATTTATCATCTAGCTTATTGCTTGTTTGTCAATCCGTCTCACCGTTGTTTTATTTACTCTGTCTCTATAGTGAACCTGCTTTAAGCTGCGGCCATGACAACCTGTCATTTATAATTGGCACTAATTAAACATTTTTCTTCAAGGACGATGCTTGTATAAGTGTAAACCCTAGGTGGGTAAATCACATGATAACATGCAATCACGAAAGATTTTTTGCTTTCGAATGGTTCTGATTTGTGCAATGGTGTAATTTGATATAATATTACCTTGTATATATCAACTCATACACCCAACATGTATCATCTATTGCATTTTATACATTTGCTTCTAATAAAACGTGAAACAACCAAGATGTCACTTGGAAACTATCAAGACCATCAGCAGATATTAAAGGATATTATTTTGATAATCATATCATGTTTAACTCATATACGGCGTAGCACCAAGTAGCTAAATTACACACAAGTAACATGATGATTTTCTTTAAGAAAAAAAAAAACTCACGCATACATGCTATCCTTGGCACGGTTTGGTTTAGCAATAATGGTGGTTACAGTGGGGTAAAACAAGGGGCAAAAAGAAAAAAAAAAAAAGAAGGGGGGATATTAAAAATCATAGTTTGAAAAACACTGATGGATTATATGTTGTACAAATAAATAAAGGGGGGCACAAACAAAATTATTTTTTCTCGGCACATTGATTTTTTTGTTGTTGTCCTCCTCCTATTTGTGACAAATTCCCAAAAGAGTGCAGTTCCCTCTAGTGTACACATGCGAGTCATTGTTTATAGTGCTGCCACTAGTAATATAGCCCTTGATTTACTTTACATCTTGTAAGTCTCCCTGATCGTCGATTGAGTGATAATGTATTTATTTATACATACATGAGGGTACATTTATGCGAGGTAATTATTATTACTTATTTATAAAAAGAAACATTATTTGACAGTTTCACATCTTTACAAAAAGATTCTCTTTTAACCCGATTCTCATTTTAGCAATTATACTATTTATAATAATAGACAGGGGAATCTTATGCTCTAGACTTTCTATCTTATGTAACAGTAGTCTATCTGTTAAAAGCTTTATTTTAAAAAAGGGGTTGTAAAGTGTTTATATAAGGCATTTTTCTTTCTTTTTTCACAACCAAAGTCTCTTTTGAACGTATTACCCCTCTGCTTTTGATACTTCTGATGCGGTCTTCTTCTCCGATGCAGGTGAAGTAGGTGGTGTTGGTATGACTTGCTTTGTTATTATAGTAGTAGTAGTAGTGGTTGTTGTCGATGCCTCATTAGGGTTAGTATCTGCATTAGCTGCTTCTGCAGTTAATGCTGAATCGGAAACTTGTGTTTGTAAAGACTTCTTTTTAGCGTGCTCTATAGCTTGTATTCTATCTGCAGAGACCGAGCTAATAAAGTCTGGAATATGGTCCAAAAGTGATTGACAACAATCGCTTAAAAGCTGAGGATTTTTTGATAAGTTGAACTTGAGTGCATGGAACAGCAAATAACTTATTAATTCTGCAGGGCTAATTTCCAGTTGTATACCAGTTGATATTGAGGACTGCTGAGCATGGTCTCGGATACGAATAATGAGCTCATTGACTGTGCGGTCTAACACTGGGTACTTCTTCCTCTCAATATCATACAGACTTTTCTCCTTTTCCGGCATACAAAAGAATTTCCAAAATATAAGTTGCGCTTGATAATTGTCAAGGTATCCCATATGTAATTTTAAGTCTACACGGCCTGGACGAATCAGTGCTGGAGGTATAGTGTTTATATCGTTGCATGTCATAAAAATAACTTCAGATGCAGGTATTAGCCATAGTTTACGTCACATGCTCTATCTGTTTTTACTTACTGGACTCTTCCAGACTTGTGATACCATCAATGGCATTCAGTATACCGGAGACTGAAACGGTGTTCTTCTCTTTTGGTGGAGTCTTACCATCTTGCTTTTCAGGAACACCTTCTTCGAATTGGTAATGATCCAAATCCTCAATAACTAGAATACAACTTTTGGGAACCTGCGCCAAAGCAGTGGATAATGCATCATCATTGGCAGCAGCAGATAAATTAAGAATAGCTACATTCATTTTCACTTTACTCGCCAATGACTGAATAAAGGAGGTTTTGCCAGTACCAGGTGGACCATGTAAAAGATAACCACGTCTGTATGGGATACCTCGATCATTGTACCACGATTTTGAATCTTTAAATGTAATAATGTCTAAAGTGAACATATCGTTAGTAAAGCATAATAATGTATTCCCATAATTTTATACCATTCAATATTCTATCTTGATCTCCTTCCTTCAGAACAACCGATGAAAAGGATCTAATCTTTCTAAATCCATGTTCCTTCCACTGGTTATCCTCGTCCCATCCATGGCTATTGAAATTGCACTTGTAAATAATTAACTAAACAATAACAATGGATGATAAGTCACGCGGAAATTCCATTACCCATATGTGGTAATACAAATTAGGGAACGAACCTTATTTTTTCTGGAGTTGTAGTATTCGTCTATCCACTCTTGAATAAAAGATCGTAATTTAGGAAGATTACGAGAACGCATTCTACAATAAATCTGCCATTAGAATCATATATAGCTACTATTTTTCTTTTTTTTTTTGGGGGGGAGTGGGAAGGGGAGTTACCTGATTTCAATTGTATCAGTCTTCACTGGCACATTATAAAAAGGACCTCTTACAGAAGCCTCACTGGTTGGAGTCTCGTCTTTACGGTTAATCAACACAGTATAGCCTTTGTAATTAATTTCAAACACCTTGTATTTTTCTGTTTAAATGCTTAGTTACATGTAAATCGGCATACAAATAAGAAAAGAAGCTTACCTGGTGTCAAGTCTATCAAAGGGGTATTCTCTTGGTCGCTCCGAGATTGTCGATGATAATAATAATTGTTTTTATTGGCATTATCATTGGGCTCAGCATAACCAGTCTTTCCTCGTACATGTCGTAATTCATGAATTCCTTTGAAATTCTTTATCAAGTATTCATCGATGGGCGCGTATATAATTTCACTTTCACCAATAACGACAGACACATAAAACATTTGTTCCTTGATTCTTCGCAAGTAAGAATAGACATTTTCAAAAATCTTTGGAATGGCTGGAAGAAATGAAACGATTGCACAAAAAATGATTGTATCATTACCAAAGTATCTTTTCGAAATTGTATACAGTCTTTCCCCTAGTAAATTTGTCCAAAAAGATTCTTCAGACACTACTTCAATTACATCTAAACACTTATCCCAGAGGTATTCTCCACCACCAAGAAACATACAAAAATAGATAAAAAGAGATAAAGAAAAGAAATAAAAGAAAGAAAGTTGGCTTTTATATCTCTTTTTTGTAGATTGTATACAGATATACATATGTGAAAATTTGTGTTTGTTCTACAATAGATGCCAACGTAAAAAGGAAAGAAATTATCGGATGTACTAATCCAGCGATTGTGGCACTCCGAATAACATGACCAATGTTTTTTTTGTTTGTTTTCATTAACAGAGATTAATTTAAACACTGAAATCCTAGAATCGTTTAATTGTAAAGAAAATTCTACGTAATTGGGCTATAGATGGTCACCAGCGACAAATATTTGGCATACATTGTGGCACTCTTCATGAATGACCCACAAATGATCTAGTCTTCTTTAAAGCTACCGTGCGCACACAATGTTTATGCGGTGCATTAAGTAAAAGTACCATTTAAACAACCGCCATTGTTGTACTCAAATTCAGGAGTAATGTTCCATTTTTAGAAATACCTGCCTCTCATCTCCTCCTTCCCAACTCTGGTGAGTCAGGTATGCGAGTGGGTAAAAAGAGATACTTGTCGAGCACTTACTGAGGGAAGGTACACAGATATTTTGTTTCAGTCTGTCATATTTGTCATTAAAATAGGTCAGTTCGATCAGTTCAGACTGTTTAACATAGTCGAAACTATATTTTTCTCTCATATAAAAATAATAATGATTGACTCCTTTGCCATTTGTTAGGCATGGTAAAATAATTATAATAGATTTCCCTGCATTATGTTATACACCCCATGAAAAGGGCTAATAACCAAAGTGGACATGCTCGAAACCCAAATTCTGTCCAAGTTTGCCAACCATTATTAGGTCATCGCGATGTCAGAAAATTTACATCGGACACCTGAAAGTTACAGGATAAATTTACTTCTTGTGTTACGCTTACATTTTATTTTAATCTGGTATGTTAGTCTAAGGATTATATAAATATCAGACAATGCCCGTAATCAAAATCTTTGCTTTGAATTATATACTTAGAGATAAGGTTTGCTGCGAAGGTAGATAGAATTGGCAATCAGAATTATGAATTACTTTGATTTTTTTTCTTGAATATCTTTCTATTCCCCTATATTAAGCATGATCAATGTTTTGCATTTCCTATGCAATGATAGGGACAAAGACGTGCTACCAGGGACACATAAAGTCTAAAAAATTTACATTTAAACACGTTGGGTTTTGACCCTGGTGATGCTGGCCAAACTTCGTAGTCACATCTCATTGAAAATTCTAACCAAAAGAATAGAAAATATAAATTACCCATAAATTTTTTTCAATTTATATATAGATGGGATGCTTCGAATCTGTATAATATAATGTATTGTAACTTGGAAATCCTCAAATTTAATGTCACAGTCTCTTTGCGTTATTTTGTTCCGAAGGTATTACAAGTAAAATCAAGAATTGTTGCCACACGAATATAGAATAAAAGAAGAGTATCAGTAAAAAGTCATAGAATAGTTTTGACGGCAGTTTCAAGATAGTTCAAGTAAGAAGAAGAAGAAGAAGAAGAAGAAGAAGAAGAAGAAGAAAAAGAAGAAGAAGAAGAAAAAAAAGGAGCAGAAGTACGAATAAAAAATCCTACCGAAAAAAATAAAGTCAACAACTTTAATAATCGTAAAGTAGCCACGAAGATATTGAGAGGATTCTTTTTTCTTAAAGAACTACTTTTAAGAAATTGACATGTTGGTTTTTATAAAGATAGCAAATCTATCAAATGCAGGATAGAAAGAGTCTTGCTTTTCAAAGCGAACTCCAAGAAAGCTCCCAAATACTTTATATACAAAAAACATGCGATTTACTCAGGCATCAGCTATGTGCATTCACAGTATCCAAACATTTCCAATTTTTTTATAATCATCAACATATTATTAAGAAGTAATTGGCATTATATTGCAATCAACTCATAGTAGTGAGTTTATGTCGTAACGTTTTGAGTGGAAAAATACTATCATTTGCGCTTTATTTGGTACGGGTCTGCGAGTCGAAATTGAAACAATATAATGTTCTCTAATAATTAGGAATTATCTTAGCCATAAAAAACAGTAGACTGAAAGCACACTAAATCCCCATTTAGCACTCAGGGACAACAGTTAAAAGCACTTTAAAGTGTAATCTATTCATAGACCTTTTAACTCTTTTTTTTTACGTCAAATAATAATTTTTCTGCGTTATATTTTAATCTCTCTCATGCCTCTCCTACACGACAACTTACGACAATGTTAGAGGTCCGGCGAATTCTCGCCCTACTTACTAATTATCTGCGATAGTTTTGTTGTAGGCATCTTGCCATGGAGACCTTATAGAACAATGCATACTGCCTTACAGTCTTTTAGGTATAGTGGATTAAATCTAGCGTTTATTTACACCAGCCTGAAGAAAATTCAAACGACGGGCAAGGTCGTACGGTATTCAACTCATTTAACATTTTTATGAATAAAATCCATATTTTAAGCCTATCAGTCTGTCCAATCAATATTTATTTACACAATTTGACAAAAACGGTTTCACAGGGAATAGTTATCTTTCCCGAAAAATTTCCATATAAAGAATTACAAAAAAAAACAAGCTTTGGAGACCTGAAATCCTTCACGGGTGTGTAGATTGGCTGTGTCAACGTCGAATTTTAAGTACAAAGACTATAAATACGAATTCTACTGACATAATGTGCTCAAGGGTTAGCCTCATGCCAGCCAGATTAGCTATGCCGGGATAGCCGATCCTCCCACATAAGTCACTCGAGCCAAAAATTCGAATTTGATTGGGCTGTGACATCATTTTTAATTCGCCTGCGACATCAATTTTTAATTGGCTGCGACAGTGCTTTTTGGATTCACTTTATCTTTTTGCTGGAATATATAATCTGGCAAAATGATGAAAGGATTGAAAGGAGTTGTAAGTTTTGTTGTCGATTCTAGTTACCACATTTTTCCCTTATAGTTTTATTCTATCAGCTTTCTAGAAGTAAATCACATAAAGAAACTAAAACATCTTCCAGACAACATCCCACGGGTAAATCACGGTCCACACCAACACGGTCTTCAAATGCCTCACCAACTAAAGCACAAGCACCAGAAGCAACAATTCCTACAAATGTTCCTGCTACACTAACAGATGACATTGTACCTGTTGTAGCAAGTAGTAGTAATAACGTAAGTTCACTATATAAAAAAGTGCTTCTGTGTTTATGTGCTACAGCAAAAGATATTAGAAATTTAAAAGGCTAAAACTATCATGTAGCAACATCTTACTTCTCGTGGTAGCGCTCGATCCGCCGAGGTTACAAACAAAATATTGAAAGATACTCCCAAAGACACTCTCCCTGCCTTAAGAACTCCTCGTCGTCAACGTTCCTCCAGAATTTATGTAACCCGTGAAAAGGCAGAGCTTGAAAAAAGCCCTCATTTTAATGGTATTATATTTATTGATATGGAACTCGTGTACAGACGCACATTAATTTATTTTATAATTTAGACGTGCCGCCCTCAAAACGACAGGAACTATTTGTCATCAAGTTGATTCAATGCCAAGTATTGTTCGATTTCAATGATCCATCTTCTGATTTAAGAAATAAGGAAATCAAAAGACAAGAGCTTCAAGAGATGCTGGAATATGTTGCAACTGTAAGAGGCGCAATCTCGGACATGATTTATCCTGATGTCATTCGCATGGTAAGTAAAAAGATATTATAAAGCACAATGCCTTTTTTAGCTAAACACGTGCATTGTGTAGTTCACAGTAAATACGTTTCGTACAATATCGCCACAAACATCAGCAGTAAATGAAGGATATGATCCCGAAGAAGATGAACCCGCACTAGAAACTGCCTGGCCACACCTTCAACTTGTTTATGAATTCTTTTTGAGATTTGTCGAATCACAAGATTTCAACTTCCAAATAGCTAGAAAACATATTGACCAAAGGTTTATACTTCAACTGCTTGAACTATTTGATAGTGAGGATCCCCGAGAAAGAGACTTCTTAAAAACAACACTTCATCGCATCTATGGAAAGTTCCTGAATCTTAGAGCATTTATTCGTAGATCTATCAACAATATATTTTTTCAGTTCATTTACGAAACTGAACATTTCAATGGTGTTGCAGAGCTGCTGGAGATCCTTGGAAGGTAAATGAAGACTACAGTTTTAGTTTCTAAAATATTTACTCGTGAAATTTAGCATCATTAATGGGTTTGCATTACCATTGAAAAAGGAACACAAGACCTTTCTATTTAAAGTACTTGTGCCTCTCCATAAACCAGCCTCATTAGCTACTTATAGTCCACAATTAACATATTGTGTAGTGCAATTTTTAGAAAAAGATCCCGATCTCGTTCCTGGTGTAATTCAAGGATTAATGCGTTACTGGCCTAAAGTAAATAGTGCAAAAGAGGTTATATTCTTGACAGAATTCGAGGAAATCTTGGATGTGATTGAAGCCCCAGAATTTGAAATTGTCATGGTTCCCTTCTTCCAAAAATTGGCTCAATGTGTTTCTAGTCCTCATTTCCAGGTTGCAGAGCGGGCTCTGTACTTTTATAATTATGAAGACGTAATCCATATTATAAATGACAACCTCGAGGTGGTTATGCCTATCATCTTCCCATCATTATATAAGCATTCGAAGGAGCACTGGAATAGAACAATTCATGGCCTTGTTTACAATGCTCTTCAGTTACTCATGAAACTTGATGATGAACTCTTTACAAAATACGTGGATAAATACAAGCAAGAAGAGTTAAGGTAATACGATTTGCCAATCACACCAGACCTGTGTTAATTACTTCATGATAGTGATTCCAAGAAAAAGTCGGATAGTGATAGAATAATAGCATGGAAAAAAATAGAAACACAGGCATTGTTGCAGCAAAATACCTCATTAATAGACGAAAAAGAATTGGTAATACTTAAGCATATATTCTAAAAAAAAAAAAAAAAAAAAAAAAAAAAAAATCGGTTATTAATATCCGTCATAGATTGCTTCGTTGAATTTAGTTGTTCTAGATAAAGATACCGATACCATTACATCCCTGTCTGCAACAACGCTAGTTCCTGATGATCAGGAAGATGATGAGGAAGGCGATGTCGAAGAAAATTCTCCTATAACCGCTATCACCACCACCAAAACATTAATCCATGAACATAACCATACTACTAATACTAATAATACCACTTCTACTACACCCTCATTATCATCCACGATCGAATTTGAAAAAGTATCAAAACAACCTGAAGATGATTCAGACAACGAGTCATGGCATAGCGTCTAGGACTTATAATGCAAATACATTACTAGGACTGATTTTCTGCGCTAATTACAAGAACATTCAGTTGGCTGAATTTTTGAAGTTTTTGAAAAAGGAAGATTTGTAATAAAAAGGGTTTAAAAAAATGGCTATAATTTTTTCCTTCAAGAGGGTGAGGTTAAATGCTGATACAGAAAGAGTATGCACGGGAATAAATTCGTTCACCTTGATGTATTTATAAAACGAGTTTACCATTGAAACCGTCGAATGTACAGCATTTCTACTTTAAATTTAGATGACCAGTTTGTTTCTAGACCTTTTTTTTAGACCTTTTTTTAGCCAAAGTGAAGGTCGAATTGAGAAACATGAGAGTTAGTTTCAAGGTTAAAGTATATAATTACTTGATTTCATTTTTTTGCCTGTAATCTTCTAAATTCTAAAGACAGAAACCGTGTTTATTACGGTGATGGATAATGTATATGAGATTTTACCGATTGTCTCTTCTAAAGGTTTCTGATATTCTATGGTTGTTCCAGACAAACAGAGATATAGACATCATGCTTATGGCCACGTTGACGTCTCTTTGCCGAAGTGTATCACATGTTGTTCAGACTAATACAATTTCACCTTTGACGTCTGCATGGTCTTTTAGCGTCTTACTATTGCATTTATTGTAGATCTTCGAAGTCAGAAATTCGTCGATTGGTATGACTAGAAGATCACCGGCAGCTTCTTGTTTCTTTCAGCACCTTCACATGATCCCAGCAACATCGCAGCGTAAACCATTCAACTTAACCAGATCCTTAACAAACATCCCGTTTCGAAACGCAACAACTGAAACTTTGGACTTATCGTCTTGGTATTTCCAAGGTTTCCATGTAAGTGTCCTACTAACGTATATAAAATCAGTAAGCTGCCACTAAGAAATGAAACTTTATCTATGAATTTTTGTTTCTCCTTCCCTTTCTTACTTTTTTTACTGGTAGGCTGCGTCTGCTTTTTATTTTTGCGTTTTTTATTTTTTTTGTCTTCTGGAGACGTCTTTTTCTGTAATACATGGCGCCGCTGTTCAACGGCATATTCACTATCACTTCAAAAGCTTTTTGTTTTTCCTGGTATAAGTTAAAACGGTATTTAGCAGTGTTGTGACCATAGAAAGTGAGCAAAGTGTTTAAGTTGAGAAATATGGACTCAGCATACCGCAGAAATTGCTGTTTTGGCTGAAGGTATTGCAAACCCAAGTGCTGTAATCACAGCAGTAACCTTTTCTTGTTGAAATTTCCTGGTGTACACTGTAAAGCCTGTCATATGATATTAATTCTTCGTCGTACAACGTTTCCATCAGTATTCATCAGGATCAGGTTTAGCAGTAGCAGTATACACTGTCTTTCTGCTAGGGTCATGGTCGGGAAACCTACACTTATAAGAAATAAATCAGTTACGTAATAAAATAACCGCTTTTATAAAAGCAACAATTACTCGTGTTGTATTTTAAGGTAAAGTTAAATCATAAAAAAACTATAAGAGTAGTTTGAGACTGTTTATAAGATGTCTTTATGAACAAGTACTATTTAGATCAGCCCATTAAGGTCTATACTAGTTGACTGCATAAATAATTTTTTTACTTATTATGATTGGGTACAATTGCTGACAGGAACAGAATTAACCCTATGTATTAATTGAGAACTGTTGTTTAAAATACTTTCTTATTTCACTTTCCTTCAAATTTCGAAATTCGTTACCAGTAATCTATAAACGAAACAAAACAAAATGCCATCCATGAGCCTGAATCTCGGTATTAACGTTCGCGTTTCCGTTTCTGTCCACTTTTTAAGGGAAGACAAGAGCTGTAGAACTTCTTCGGGGACGTTCTGACTTCAAGGCTCCTCGTCTTAGGCTTAATGGAATCATCACTGCAAAGAGTACAGACGCTAAGAATAAAGTTTTCTATAATGTAGTGCTCAATGAGCTACCAGACACTATCTTTGTACTTCATAGAACCTATTTAAAGTACGAAGGTGTCATAGTTAAACAAGGGACCATTGATAACAGTTCGTATACTGATACGACGGTCAACACTAATACTTTAGAGGAAGATGTTAATCTGGAAGATGCTGAACCCAGCGATGAGGATGAGGAAGAGATTCCAGTATGCGATGAGGTCTGGGATACGAGAGAAGTGCATACTAATGCACGTCTAAGTTCCGGAAACAATTATCGTTCCATAGAAGCAGTGTTTAACTTGCAAAACAAGGCGAGTATTTCTTGATTTTCTACCAATTGATCACATAAGATAAGTAGTTGTCCCAAGCATCAGTACTCATGCGCATAGTGTCAAAAACTGTCGGGTAAGTCTCACCTTCTTGGAATATTTAACGTGGATAGCGATTTTAATGAAATGACGGTTCCTAAGCATGTGGACAAGAAGGCGTATTGGTGGATGGGAAACAGCCATTTGAGGCCCAATATCAACTTTGGCGAATTTATGGAGTATGGTCTTTTAGTATCAGTACTTCAGTATCATGTTTTTGAGGTAAACTGTGGTAACTGGTTAGCTTCAAATCCTTTTTACCAGATCGGGATGTCTTTACAAAAATCCAATGTGGTACTGGCAAGAGCACTTGAGCCTGGATGATATATATTGTTATGCGACAAATCGAGCGCATTTCCAATTTTTCTTTCTTTTTAAACACCTACTAAAGTGCAATACACCTTTTCGGGTTTGCACCTGTCAAAACTACTTCTTTTCATCTTTTTCTTATCCTCAGATTTGTGACCTCTTAGTAGGCGCAATTACCTCAATCTCTTCTATAAATTTTCCCAATTTCTTTAATTTCAGTGACTGGAATATACGTCCATCACTATAAATAGACATCCATAAGACCTCTCTTAAATAAAAATCCTCATCTATTATTTTACTCATATTTCAACACTTTGACTTATTAGTTTTATATACTATTCAGCTTTATCATCATTCTGATTGATCCCTTGATTACATTTTATCATTGTATCTTTTATTTATAAGCATATAAGCCATACTTAAATCCATTTATTTTCTAACAGTTCAGCTTCTGATTAAACTAGCTGTGGTTCTCACTCAACTCGCAACTCTAAAGACCTTTCTTTACTAAACCTTTATTTTATTTAAAGAATCTCTTTTATCTCTATCATCCTACTCGCATCCTCTTTTAAAATTTGGTGCTCACTAACAGGGTTTGTTATCAAGAAAACTATGGTATTTGACAAAATATTACATAGAAAAGTAATGAGATAAAAGTATATTTTTATTAGAGGTAAAAATAGACTAAAAGAACTCTGCTGCTATGAAATAATTGATCCTTTTTATATTGCACAACTCTCCTGAGTTTTAATGATGAGTCAACCTTTCTGGTTTTGGAATAGATCTATACTTAGTTTCCCGCCTTGGGTTAAATGGATACTACTCGTTAGAATTGTTTCCAGTTAACGCTGTCCCATATCAGTGGATCTGGAGCATGAGTATCCTAATAAATCTTTAGTATTACGAGACACTTATTTATCAAATCATGCAAGGGTTACTGTAAAAGATGCATACTTGTTTGTCAAGTATAATTGGCAATAGAACATAATAGTTGCTCATTTATTTATTATCTTTGTAATAAATTAAATACGATCCCAAATATAAAATGTCCTATCGATATTTGTATATTTGGTTGTAGAAGATAGGTATCCATTAATTCATACACTATTTCTTTATACTCTTTATCAGCAGTATAACTATATCAATATATAAGTAAATGAACCATTTATATTAATAGCTGTTCTATTCTCTCTCTGGGTAGCTAATCCATTGAGAGAGCTATTAATATAAAGTTTCTCTTTCTTATAATTCTTGATTGATCTGAGAAGTTTCTCTTCTCGATCGGTGATATCGTAACTCAGTGGTATAGCATTCTGTATCCAACTGTCATTCGTATATCGTATTTAGGCCAATCATGCAATCTTTAATATAGAAGTATGTACTCGAAGTAGGAGAAGTTGTATAGCAGTATACAAGCGTATGCTGATATGCAACATCAAAGGTTCTTTTAATTTCATAGTTTATTTATTTAAACGATTTGCTTAATTATTCTTAAGTGAATCGTACCCAAATACGACAAAGGGCACAGTGACAAACTCTATTCTCATTGACATTACGAATGTCAGTGGCCAAAAGAAACTTTTCTTGAATGAATTTCAAGCATATTGTGAGGGCAACTTGCATGTTTGGGCAGTTGCTGACCAACTCCTCAGGGAGTATGGTCCTATATACGCAGAAGTTGTGATAATTTGAGTATAAAAGGGTAAAAATAAAAGATAGAAATAAACAAGTAAAGAAATGAGACTCTTTAATCCTTTATTATTAGTTGGAGAGTTTGTCATGATAAAAATAGAGGTCCTTTTATATAAAATTATTACTTCAATTAATTTCTGCGTAGATCGAATAAACATTTCCAGAGACTGGGAATTGTTTGATTTGAAATATAAATCAGTAGCGACATGAAACATAGCTTATAAATTATAGTTATGTAAGCCTATGGTTGTATGTCCGGAATTTCAAGCAGAGAAATCATTTATCCATTTAGCAATATGTGCGATGATTGGATTACTTGATTACTCATCGTAGGTGCTAGAAGGAACCGCAGTAAATCAGCCAACCGGGGTCCGATGTAGGGTATGATTTCCAGTTAGAAGATTATGAGAACTGGTACTGTGTCTGTTATAATATATGAAGTATATTATAACTCAAGACAGATTAATTAGTAATTGTATTCGAATTATTTAGGCGTCAAATACGACAGAAGTTACTGTCTCTCCCTTCTTGCACAAACAATTTGTGGAGAACCCCAATTTTGTTCTCCCTTACTTCACTGAATCCTTTTCAGCTTATCTTTTGTTGTCATCTTCGGCTGATATTTGAAAGATCACATTCACTGGTCTTCCTCATCAATATGGTCGTAGAGACGGTGGTGTATCTCAACTCACCGAAGATATGAAAATTAATCTTGCCCCTTATGGGGATCTTATTGACTGTGGTTTTGTTACTGGAAGCAGTGGCCTATATGCTGGTGGTGGTTACGCCGTTATCGCTGTCTCTACCAGTTCTAATAGTAGTGTTAAGCCCCTGACCCATTCTGTTCCATGGTTCTACGCTCCTTTAGACTACGCTTCTTCCACTGGTGAGGTTTCTGTGGTGTTTTGGATAGTAGAAATTCAGACAAAAGGAAATAAAACAAAAGTAGGAATACTTTGAGACTGTTGGTATGCTTTATTTCAATTAAAAGAGAATTAGAGATTATCTAGTTTATGAGTCGAGGATATATATATAAGATGTCTGAATTTAAAACATAAAATTATTGCATAATGGAATTGTACTAAATTAGTGCAGTGTTTTCTTACATTATTTTAGTCAAAGAAGTACATAGACTAAAGAGGTGTATTTGCTTTATAAAGTATTGATGCTGAGATATTAATATTTTAGTGTTAGATGTATGATGTAAGTGTACATATCTGATGTTATTTTTATTATGGTTCTTATCAAGAAGTAAGTCAGATCATCACAGTTTCATCCACATTAGAAGCGGTTAATATTTTAGCTACCTGGGCATCTACGCCCTCTTTCTGCCGTTATTGTCACTCAGAATCACACGCCTTGTTTTACTGTCAATTACGCAAAAAAGCCATCATTTGTCATTTGTGCCATGTTCCTGGTCGTATTGCCAAATTTTGTCCTAAAAAGAATAATGCTGGAGATTCTACCGGTAAACGTCGAAAATTGCCTAATACGGATATCGCCGTTTTAAGCCCACCCTCTCATTCCGCTCCTGTTACACCTATCAGACAAAGCGGTTCTAGCGACCATATCGCTCCCGCTTCACTTCCTGTTGCGAGCCAGGCGAATGCAACCAATGATATTGCCATCGCCCCGCCAATCGAAGAGAAACGTCACCGTGTGGATTCACCAGCTCGGGCCACTCGAACAACTTCTACATTGGCTGACGAACCTCCTAAACCAGTTACAGTCACACCATGTAAGCATTGTGGATTGATGGGTCATAAACGTACTATCCATAAAGACTGTTTAAAAAATCCTCATAAACTTGCTCAACGTACACAAGACTCTGATTTGTATAACCCTGAATTTCCAGAAATTGAAGATGTCGATATGGACCTCGATAATACTCCCAATGAACCCGTTATCCATCATATAGTCGATTCCCCGTCTCCAAATGGAGACTTTTATCAATAATTTTATTAATCATAAATTTATTCAATACTAATATTAACACAATTATTGACCCTGTCGTATTTGGGTACGATTCACTTAAGAATAAATAAGCAAATCGTTCAAATAATTAAATTATGAAATAAAAAAGAACCTTCAATGTTGCATACCAGCATACACATGTATACTGCTACACAACTTCTCCTACTTCGAGTACATATTTCTATATTAAAGATTACATGATTGGCCTAAACACGATATACGAATGACAGTTGGATACAGAAAGCTATACCGCTGAGTTACGATATCACCGATCGAGAAGAGAATCTTCTCAGATCAAATCAAGAATTATAAGAAAGAGAAACTTAATATTAATAGTTCTCTCAATGGCTTAGCTACCCATAGAGAGAATAGATCAGCTATTAGTATAAATGTTTCATTTACTTATATGTTGATATAATTATACTGCCTATAAAGAGTATAAAGAAATAGTGTATGAATTAATGGATACCTATCTTCTACAACCAAATATACAAATTTCGATAAGATATTCTATATTTGGGATCGTATTTTATGCATTAGAAAATTAAAGCATAAATGATCAATTACAACTGTGATAATTGAGAGATAAAAAGGTAGAAAATAAAAGATAAAAATAAACAAGTAAAGAAATGAGACTCTTTAATCCTTTATTATAAGTTGGAGAGTTTGTCATGATAAAAATAGAGGTCCTTTTTATATTCAATTATTACTTCAAGATTTTTCCTGCGCAGATCGAATTGACTATTTACCCGCAAACTGGGAAATGGTAGAATTAGATTTAGAAATCAGTTACATATGAAACATAGCTTATTGTTATATACAAGGAGCTAGTTGACCCATATCCGGCACTTCTAGAGCATTATAGTTTATCCATTCAATGACAGGGTCCTTGATTGGATTACTAAAATAAATTTATGAGAAACTAGAAGATTCGGCAGCTACTCGACCAATCCAGGAACGATTATGAAATCTGATCTCAGTTTGACATATGAGGGAGCTGGTACTGTGTCGTACCAATAGGAATGTATTCGCAATATGGTACTTATAATACATAGGTTATATGTATTATAATTGAGTGACAAGATAAGAGTAATTATATTCGTGGAATTAGGCGTCAAATACGACAACAACTATTATGTTCTATTGCCAATTACACTTGACAAACAAGTATGTATCTTTTAACAGTATCCGTTACACGATCTTACAAAGAAGTGTGCCACTGCACCAAGTATTTGTCAGAATACTCGTGTTCCCGTTTCACACATCTGGGACAACGTTACCTTTAATCAATTCTAACGAGTAGAGTTTAGATAACACAAGATGGAAGACTAAAATATAGATTTATTCCAAAACCAGAAAGGTTGACTCATCATAAATCCAGGAGATGTTGGCAATATAAAAAGGATTGATTATTTCATAGCAGCAGAGTTCTTTAGTCTATTTTTACCCTAATAAAATATTCGTTTTATCTCATTATTTTTATACATGCATTTTATCAAATATCACAATAATCACTTGCTTACATTACAATTGAATGGTTACAATCAAAAAGAGCAGGTTTAGTTAGTTGCACAGAAGAATATTGAACTTACCTTCACGGATGCCAGAAGTTCACTAACTGGTTTACCTTATATTTAGGGATGGGATGGGGGCTGGACACCTCTATATTTACAAAAAAAAAAATTGTATTGTCATACACATACATCAAAGCTAAATACAAAAAAATATGGTTGGTGAAAGAAAAGAAAAGATTCTATTTCTAAGAAAAAATAGAAGATTTTTTTTATACAAAATAAAAAAAAAATATCTGACGTGATACAAAATCTCAAACCCAGTCCATGAACCAAATCATCCGTTTTGTTTCTCTTATAAAATCATCAATAATTGTCGTAAAGAACTATTTTTTTCGACCAAATTATTCTAATAAATATTTTTTAACCTCTAAGGATAGCAAAATCAATATTTGAAGCTATTTGTTTTTTTTTCGGAGTTAAACTTAGGCGATTGCGGTCAAAATTGGATATTATCGCCAAAAATGCGATATGGCCAATTTTTGACCGCAATCATAGCGATTGCGGTCAATTTTTAATAAATCGTTCCTGAAATTTTGCGGTGTACTCCATGTTGGTCTATTAGACAAAGGGAACAAAGAACCATCCACAAAGCCAACACATTCAGGGAATCCATATTCCTCTTCGATTTCCTTGTTTATAATTTTTCTTTCTTCAGCTGTTGGCCAGCGCAAATACTCCTTTGCTAAGTTTGAAATTACGGCAATAATGAACCTTTTTGTGAAACATACAACTGCACGTTCTTTATTGATAAGTGAGTACAAAACAACTATAAACGAACGAATTAGACATACCTGAAATTCTTCCTGCTCGGGCAAACTTGCCTATGGATGCTCCATTTCCGTAGTAACCCAAACGTTCCAAAGCGACTATCATTTGCACCTTCAATGGTATCTGAGGTGTTCCGTTTTGAGGATTGTAAACTGAGTGCGACATAATTTTGAGGTATAAGGCATCGAATGAACTCAAATCCATTCTGATTTCTTGACGGACTCTTCCTTCATCAAGTACTCTCAACAAACTAATTTTTTGCATGATACTGCATTTAGGCACCATATCTCTTGATACAAGATATCTTTGACTGAGAATGTAAGATACAACCAGGGCATTAAGTGAGACATATTTCTTCTTATATTGAACACCAGTAGTAGTGCTCGAGCTTTTCGAGCTTGCACCGATCTTGCGCCAGTTCGAACGAAGCTCGAACCGAGTTTCTGTACTCGAGCTTGCGCCACTTTTTTTTGGGTTCGAGCGAGCTTTGATCGATGCTCGCTCGGCTAAAATGTCGATAGTAGTCACTCTAAAGTTAAGGTCCTTGAATGACTACAGATGGCATTTCCCCTTGATTTTAATCTTTTCTTCCCTTTACCATTTTTTTATTTATGCTCTAATAACTCCAACTAAAATGTGTGATAATTGCGTATATAAAAGTATATGTAAATAGAGTTTTTTGACGGAATAAGAAATGAGATTCTTTATCCCTTTATTATAAGTTGGAGAGTTTGTAATAAATAAAATTAGAGCTCCTTTTATATACGAATTATAACTTCAGGTAGATTCTCTGCTTAGTTCTAATTAAGGTTTTACACGAGATAGTGATACCTTAACTTGAGATACAAATCAATGACAACGTAAGATGGAGCGTATTACTTCTGTAACGTAGGTTCTCCGTGTTATGTCTGGAACCTTTATATAAATAAAACAGCTCATGGTTCCTTAACAAGAGTTAAGGATTAGAGTTCCTGATCAAAGTATATGTATAGTAAGATTCCACAGTTACACAACAACTTGGATTAAGTTTAGATTATAATCACAGAGTGAATGTTATGTTGTTCTGGTATTGTGTCTTTAGACACTAGGAATCACATTCACTAGAATCGTTGCTATAACATATGACATATTAAAACGATCAGACAAATTGAATTGTAATTATATTCGGTTTAATAGGAGTAAATACGACAAAATGCTTTTGACTTTTATTTAATTGTACAACCAACAAACACATTTACCATCACACCAAACGAGATTTAGCGTCAATCTTAATTCTAATATGGATGAGCGGGGAGGAATTTTTTTGCCTTTTGTAGAATGAATATTACACAGCATTTGGGGGGTCGAGAGGGAAATTTTTACCATATTGGGTCTAGTGATATGCGGTCGGAATAACCTGATCCGTCAAAAACAGGCCACAAATACGGTCTGGAATATCGATAAAAAAATGGGCTGAAAAAAAAACGAAAAAAAAACGAAAAAATAGGCATAAAAAATAGGCATAAAAAATAGGCAAAAAACGGCTGAAAACGATTGGAATTATGGGTATAAATTTGATTTTATTGAATAAAAATTGTAGGTTTTAAATTATATTTGTATATGCTAGATTGCTAGGAGTAATCTTCTTGGAAAGACAAGCATCGCATGCACTATAAGCGGCGAGCCCAGGTTTCTATTCCAGAGGTCTTCAATGTACTTACTGCGATTCAGACCAAGGACACGCGTAGAGACAGAGGATACCCGTATTGTAAATGTTACCTAAAAAAACCAGTTAAAAATAATACTTTGGATTCAAGTATGACTTCTCAAACATTACCTTGTCAAGTAAAGATAGTATCCTTCGGCATCAATAATGTATCTAAGAAAAGAAGTGCGCATACGTTAGAGAAATGAAAACAATTTTGTTCTTAAAAACTTACTTTTTGTTGCGAATGTAGAGAAAGATAACTTTTCAAAAAAAATTCTAAAGGATCCTCTTTTATACTTTTTTTCTGGAGATGACCCGGGTGCCAATCGTCCGAGGCAAAATCGCTAAATAAAAACAATGACGTACCTTAATTTTAGCACTTCTTTCTTTCTTTTATTTTTTTTATAAAGTTAAACATACCTGAAATGAGTCAAAAAACTATTAAATTTGCTCCCGAACCTGTCTTTGAATGCTCTGAGTGCCCAGCTAAGCTCACAAGAAAAGACAATTTGGACAGACATAAGAAAAATTGCCATCAACCCATTTCCCAACAAGACGTTATTATGGAAGACCCAGCCCAAAACGCGACGTAGGTTTTATAACAGATTCGTAAATTTAGACTTCATATTAATCTATGCTAGTAGTAATGTTGTTAGAGTGGCTGATGGCGAGATTCATCAACAACAACAACAACAACAACAACAACAACAACAACAACAACAACAACAACAACAACAACAACAACAACAACAACAACAACAACAACAACAACAACAACAACAACAACAACAACAACAACAACAACAACAACAACAACAACAGCAACAGCAACAGCAACAGCAACAGCAACAGCAACAACAGCAACAACAGCAACAACAGCAACAACAGCAACAACAGCAACAAGGAGATCTTGAAGAAGAATACCTTGAAGAAGACTCTCAGGAGGATGATACGGATGGTCCCCGCGATTATAGTGGTGATATCTTCGAGAACTGCCCTGACTCGGAAGACGAACTTGATGTCGACATTGACATCATTGCGCCAATCCAACATGCTATCTATAGCAACGTCGATGCAGGTGTTCAACCAGGCTTTAGTATGGGTAGTTTTGTTAATTCCATTCAACCTGCAATCCATCAACGCGGGGAAAATCCAACAACGAGTAACAACGAATCGGCTCCGTTCAGTAACATGTTGTTCTTTGTTATCATCGCCTTTTTCGACGGATGCTCTCTTAGCATTTCCGAAGAGAGGATCAAACTGATTCTGTTTGTTATCGGTATCATTGTCCAATTAGCAAGGGACAATGTGGACATGCCATTGCCTGCTACTGATCATGTACTCAACTACCTGGGAAGAGCCAAAAACAAAATTCCCAAAATGAGCACGACAAGACACGTAGCTACCAACCACAAGACAAAGAAGGAATATACATTTTTTATGAACAAACCTTCCGAGTTTCTCACGCATCTTATGGCCGACCCTATCAAGTGTCCACAATTGAGTGCACTTCCAGATTTTACGGAAGACTCAATCAACTGCTTGCAGCAAGGTGAAAAGTGGAGAACACATTCTATGTTTCAACACCCCATGATCACGCTCAACAATCTTGATATCTGGGTTGGTAATCTTGTTGCATTCAAGAACTCTTTTGACAAAACGATCTGGCTGTTGATTAAGCAATTTTATCAAAAGAGAAACGCCGATGGAGTCACTGCTATCTATGCAAGTGGCTACCAGGCTGCCCCCGTTTGGAGTTTTGGAGAAGTGCAATTTGTATTCAACAGTAATGGTGACTTTGATTACGATGTTTCTCCCCTCTTATGTATCGATTCGCAATTATCAGAGTATTCGATGTCCAAATTTGAAGGTCTGGTAGATAAGAGCTCTCGTTTTGCCATGTACCTGTATTCTGAAAATTTATTTATCCAATTGTCTTCCGAGGATATTCAGGATAAGCTTTGGAATGATACATTAGCTGATGTCAACAGGTTCAAGAGACGAAGAACAGACGGCTCCATCATGAAGGTAATGAATGTTCCTATCACATTCTTTACTGATGATACATCAGGAAATCTTTCAAAGCAGTATAATCTATTTGACAGTTATTGTATGACACCTGCAGCCATGTCTTTTGATAGTAGAGGATCAAAGAACAATACTTTTATGATGTGTACATCGAACAAGAACTTGTCGGCCGTTGATATGCTCCCTCCAATTGTTAATGATTTGGTTTATCTAGAGAATGGTGTCGAAATGTATTCGGCAGTACATGAAGATTACGTCTTGGTTGTAGCTCCTCTTCTTTTTATTCAAGGCGATAACTACCGTCAGTCGGAATTGTCCATGCACAGAGGCAGTGCTTCTAATTTCTTCTGTCGTAAATGTCTGATTAAAAAGACTAAAAATCCAAACCCCAAGTTACGAGTAAACGCATCTGCCGCAACAAGGGAGCGTCATGCAACTGCGCCATTGAGGCTCATCGATCCTATTCTCCACGAATGTCCTACCAGATTACGATCTGACCTGGAGAAGGTGAGCAAGCTCGATGCAACTGATGAAGATGGCAAGAAAGCTATTAAGTCATATGAAGTCAGCCATAGCATAACCAAGAATGGCAGTGAACAGCTTCTTCGCTTGAAATCTTATGATCCCATATTGGATACTCCATTGGAATTACTTCACACGTTACCTTTGGGTATTGGTAAATTCTTGGTGACATTTTTATGGAAGGACCTTCTGAACAAGCATCAAAAGACAGCTTTACAAGATTGCCTGGCAGATTATCGCAAAAACAGGGCTTACTCAAGAACTTTTCGAGCAAAGATGGTGCATAATGGTTCCTTCGTCGGAAGGGACTATAAAATCTTATGTCAACTTCTTCCTGTTGTTTTGCGAAGTATTTTTGTTGTGCAGCCGGACAGCATTTTGGACTTGACAATAAATGTTTTGACACTTTTGGTCTGTTATGTTCCTTGTTATACATGCGTTCAATCAAGTTAAACGTCGATACGGTTGCTAAAACAATAAAAATACTGGTGGATGAATTGACTGCACGTGTTTTGGACCTTGATAACAGTTGCATTCAAGACTCGAGAATTGCCTCCCCTTTGATATCTTTGCAACCAAAATTACATTTGCTTCATCATCTGCCATTTGATATTCGTCGTTTTGGATTACCTGTTCATTATGAAACCGAGCACGGCGAACAATTCAACAAGTTTATTCGTGAGGCCATTTTACTGACAAATAGACATCAGTCTGAACGGGATGTTGCCTTGAAGTTTGCCAAACAGTTTATGATCCGTTTTCTGTTTAATGGTGGTACTTTTCTTGTTGAAGAAGCAGATGGGTCTTTTACTAGATGCCGTGTTGGTCCTGAAATTGCTAGATTCAGAACTGCATATCCAAAATTCGAAGAATTATTGCTCACTGTTCGTGAAAACTCTGATAACAACGAATACGTCAATGCTCGTTCTGTGTCTCTCAAGGATGGTGTTAGTGGACTGTTTATGGATGAAATTACATCGTAATCTTGCTTTGGAAGAATTATCGAGAGGACTTTCCAGAATTCCGAAGGAAAACTTCAATTAGCTAAGTATCTTTTAACTTATGAATGTATAGAATCCAATGATGTTAGTGATAATTTTTTGCGTTCATTTAATAGATATGCGTCGTCCAAGTTCCCTTTGTGGCTGACAACCGTCGATAACAACCCTGTGGTACGCCCTGTGTCTCACATATTCGACGGCCAGTACTCACTTATCGAGTTGATGGATCTTGATACTTTTGCTGACATCGATAAAACCTACAGAATTATTAATGTGCACAAATACGGCTCATTCTATCTGATGTTAAAGCATTATCAGGCTACTTTTCCCCAAGGTGATTAGATGTCTGCCTTCTTTGCAAGTATACGGAGTGTGTTTAGCGGAATTGACCGTACTGTTCTGGCTGTAGCTTTGCTTCAACCAGTTCGTCACTCCGAGGCAATTACCCTCGGGGAGGATTCACACTTCTCTCTCAAGAAAAACAAAAAAAAAAAAAAAGTCTGCCTGCCCACCTGTTGCCTGCCTGTGTACCCACAATATTACCGCTTGATTTGGTACCACCCCCCTCCATATTTCACATCAAGCCTTTTTGGGTTTAATGTTTTCTGCTGTAAAAATAGATGTGCCTGGCTGCCCAATAAAATGAATCCCATAGTTACACTGCATTCTCCCCACCCCCATATTTTAAAGTTGTACTTTGTGTATTTTTATTTTATAAAGTTAAGCCAATAGTAGCTCTTATATACAGTAGGAGTATCGGCAAAACTTTAAATCTGCTCAAAAGTCTTTGGGTGTGATAGAAAATGATACAGTGTTACACACTATACATAACTAAGCCAATTTTTTTACAGCAACCATAGTAACATGACGTAGCAGTATTAATTTAAACTTTCATGTTCACAAATCCAAATGTATTATAATTGTAGATGCAGTAATAGTTTGATTTAAGTATCCGAATTTGATGTTAAGGCTGGTGAAAAAAAAAGTTTTCTTTTTCTTTTTCCAACTTCTATTTCAATAAATAACAATTTTATTATCATAAATTTTTGTAATTAACATCACTTTGACGTGTACTTTGTGTAATAAAAAGGGCGAGCTAGTTCGAGCTATCGTATTTACAACCGAGCCGAGCTTAAGAAACTTCGAGCGAACTCGAGCTGCAAACAACCGCATTCGAGCGAGCTTCGACTGGACCGCGATCGAAGCTCGCTCGAGAGTTTTGACCTTCATTCCGAACACTAACCAGTAGCAAATTCAAATAATGTCGCAGCTTCAAGACAAGCGATAATGGATTGACGTTTACTGACTTTTGGCATAATGCTTGTTTATTGTAAAAATAATGAGAGAAAGAGAAAGAGAAAGAGAAACAAATAGAAAAAGTTATAAGAAGAAGGGAAGGGAAAGAGAAAAAAAAAGGTATATTAAATAAATTTAATTTAACACTGCTTGTCGAACTTATTCATGCAATCTTTCCATTAAGCAAGGTACTCCGTCTTGTTGAGGACCTTGTCGTCAAACAGTTCTATCAGCTGTTCTAGTCGCTTGACATGCTTCCAAGCTTTAATCTCCCAAAGCCTCTTCTCCTCCGCCTGCTTGCTTCTTTGCTCTCTTTGCAAATCTCTTTTTTCTTCCTTTTTGATCATCCAGTTTCAATTCCAAACGGCGTCATCCAACTTACGACTCTCAATTGCAGATTGTCTGAATCTCTCTTCCAAATCCTGCTCCTTCTCCCACTCGAACATTTGCTCTGCTGCCTTTGTCGTTTCTTCCATCATAGCCAGACTCGCTTCCCGTACCATGTCCAGTATGTCATTTCCGCTTCGTTTGTGTGGCACGGGTTTGCGAATCTGCTTCAAAGCACTAGCTGGTGTAGGTGTGGGTGTTGATGTGGGTGTAAGTGTGGGTGTGGGTGTAAGTGAAGGTGTAAGTGAAGGTGTAAGTGCAGGTGCTGTTGTAGTTGTAGTGGTGGGTGTGGTGGTCGCTTCTGTCACTTCTTCCATTTCTATATCATCATCATAGTTACTTTCGATGGTATTCATTATCTCTTCTACTCGAACATCATCTCCCTCGTCGTAAATTCTTGCTTCGCGGGCAGCAGAGTCACGAAAAGAACTTCGAGTTTTTTATATTCTTTGCAAATAGTTTTGCAAGTCTCTAAACAGCAAAGAAAAGGAATTATGTTCAGTATTTTAGCTTTTGGTTTTGATAAGAAACGTTTTGTTTTTCTTTACCTAAGACAGATTTTTCATCGACTTCACCAGTATCCGTGATATGTCCAGCACTTTGCCCGGTACTATGCTTCCACTCATTTGCCACAAGATACGCAGAAATGAACCTGTCGATCTTGCTTTGAATCTGTTTCAAATCTCTGTGCTTCATTCCCTTTGCATGGAGAAGTTCCTTGATTTCGCCGAGACACGTTTCCTTGTTATCGCTTTTACCAGAATCTCCACGAAAGCGTCGAAAATTATCCGATTGATGGAACCATTCCATGATGATTTCAATAGAACTTAAACCTTCAGGATTCGATGATAAATCACAATCACGGTTATCAGTGTCCCATGATACACTTTCAGTCTTAGGTTTTATAGGCTTGGGAGCTAGTTTTTTCTTGGTAACTTTGGCAGGTTTACGACCTTTTACAGAAGAAATGGTCGCCTTGGCAGCCTTGTTGACAGCTTTTTTGATAATGCTTTGGTTGGTTTCAGGCATAAAAAAGGAACTCGCCAAAGACGGTCACTATTTTAAAGTGTCACGGTATCGTAACACCAATGTCCAAACTTAAGACGTGTTATTGTTATTATTTCTCTATTGACTGTGCGTAACACTAATTGTCCAATATAGATATTGTTATTGATAGCATACTCATATTGTTAAGAGTAGTATCCTCAGCCTCGTCCATTCCATTTATTATAAATACTCTTTATTTTTCCTCTTCTTAAATCTTTAGTTAACTTTAACATCAATAAACTCTGACAAGAATTCTAATTGATTGAGAAATTCCGGACTGATAATAGCGAATTAAAAAAAAATGTGAAATTTAACAAAGTGAAATTATCAAACTGCAAAAATAAACTAAAGCTTTATTAAACAAATAAAAGGGGGTCTTTATATACACATTATTTCAGACATTGATCACAGATGGGCTGATGACGGTTGTGGGTAGATTTATCCAGATAATACTTGGATGTAATGATCCCATACAGAAAGACCATAATGAGATGTCAATAACAATAACAATAACATCTATTCTTAAACTGTGTATATTTTGTAGCACAACATTCAGGGGAAAATGTAGTTTTTATTAAAGAAAGCTGTGGCACCTCAACGTGGCTGATGTAACCTTCATATGTTTTCATATTAATGTTATTATTTAAATGTATGTCTTATACTTGTATGAAGGATGATATGAGATCAAGCCTGTACATAAAGTAAATGATCAGTATTTAATATAACAGTATCAATAAGAATTATATTTAGGATTATCAAATGGAAGATTTAAGAAGTGTAGATAAATTCATATATTAAGTATATAGCCTCGATCACGACAGCCATCACTACATTCCTCGTTATTATAGAGTGAATTTACGATCGAAAGTCTATATTATTCATGATATCTTCATATCATATAAAAACAACCAGTTTTACTTTTAGAGCACCTAGCAGTAGGGCTTAAAATGTAAAATTAAGGTCTTTGCCTCGAGCAATGTCCTGAGTGTTTTGTTTGTCTTGCCTTCACGTTTTCCAAAGTGAAAAATTGATGTAGCAACAATCATCCATTTTTTCTTCTTCAATAAAATAAACAGTGCCAGCTATTTTGACAAGGAAGAAATTGTACAGAGAAAACAAAAAAAACTATTTAGGTACACACAACCTTTTTAGTGCTTTGAAGAGTAAGAATTTTTTTAAGTGTAACTGCTGCAGTGCTCTTACTGTTTTGGTCTAACCCCTTCTGTGATTTCAGGTGACCATCTATTAGAATTTATTGATACTACAGCCTCCAAAAACTACTTTTATATTGAGTTTAAAGAATCTGTTCGCTACAACACGATACCCATTTAAACGATTATTAGATATCATGCACCATAGCTCCTTTTTGATTACGACATCATTCTCTTCATTTTTTGATGGCTTAAACTATTTAACGGGCTTCTCTTTTTTTCATTAAAAAAAGAGGTACAAATTTTTCAAAAATCCTGCACCAGTTCCATACAAATAGACATTGTTTCTTGCACTGGAACGTCTGAATATTACATTGGTGAGGTCGCTAAAATGGCCAAAATTACTGATGAACAACCTGGTCCTCAAGACACCCCGAGCTCCACTGCTTCTACGGATACAAGGAAACCTACTGATTTGGCCACTAAAGGAAAAAAGAAGAAAGAGGTGGATCCTTCAATTTTCAAGTCCAGGGCTAACTACTCTTCAGCAATTCTTCGTGACATGACGGAGAAAAAGAAGAAGGCATCAGATAACCACACTTCTGATTTGGACTTTTCGGACGTTCGTAATGGTGATGTGTCTATTGTTGATAATGGATCCCAAATGGACGGAGAATCTCTCAGGGTACATTTTATGGATGCTAAGCAAAAATTTGATGAATAAGCAATGTATGTTCAGGTGAACCAACAAGGACTCCTGGGGGAGGCGATTGTGAAACAGCAAAGATCAATGGCTAATTTGAAATCAGTGGAACATTTTGCTCCAGCGGATCGTATTCATTTTCAAATACTTATTTTGGAACAGCAGGATCAAGCTCAAGAAATACATCGTATGGTTGAAAACTTGGACGGCCAAGTTAACAATGAAAGGTCTAGATTGAACCAGGTACTCAGATATCTCTTACACTCTATTCCTGGCATGGAAATAAACCGAATGGTCTATAAATTTCAAAAGCCCACACTTTCTCTTTGCCGCGACTTGGAACTTCAATATGATTATCAGTTAATGATCACTGGCGTTTATAATCCTCCCCACATTGTTAAGGATAAAAAAGGTAAACACAAGCTTCAGTAGAAGGCAGATAAGGATGAGTTGAAACTATTGCAACAACGAATTCTTCTTTTGGAATCTCAACTTCAACGAGCTCAGGTTAGCACTCATGGACATGGTGGTACTAATGATCAAAAATTGCGTCAGACTACCTTACTCAAACCAGAGTCTAGAGAATCCAAGGCTATCAATCAACAGCGTATCTGATAAATGGAAGATAATTTAGGAAAAGTGGCAAGTAAGATTAACCAGATTGCAAAAATTAACTGAACTTTTATTAACATAAAATTTAGGGGTCCTTTATATACATATTGAATTCGACCTCCTTCTTAGACAGGGCTAGATTACAGACAAGATTATGACTGACACGCCATATCTTGAAAGTAAGTAATCCAATGAGAATCATACAGTAGTCGCTCGATTTAAGGGTGTTCGATTTAAGGGTATTTTCTATTTAAGGGTGGATTTTGGAAAAACAGCTTCCGTCCCCAGCATTAACACCACTAAACCACTATTCTATTTAAGGGTGAGATTCCAATTCCCCATACCCTTAAATCGAACGATTTGACAGTGTATTTTTGACTTTTTTCTAACTTTTTGATCAAATTTATTGAATGTCCGAATAAAAATAAATATTTCGCAGTAATGATCATATTTCACGGTTAAAAATGGCGTAGTGACTTCTGTTTAAAATAGTCACACTTTTCCATTTAAGGGTATTTTCTATTTAAGGGTGAGATTTCCGAAATTTTTGGTCACCCTTAAATCGAGCGACTACTGTATAATGGAAGAAAGAGTGGTACACGTTTCTGTAATAGGTCTGTAGTGTTACTTGACGCGTACATTTAAAAGTCATCAAAGTACATTCAAAACTTTATTGTGTTTGTGCTTTTAAACCTCGCTTGTCATTGGCCTCCGCTAATCTGATTAGTACAATATATTAATAATGTCTTTTTATAATAATTGTATAATAAATGTATACTTTTGCACTTGTATTTAGCGTGATGAATATCGTGCTAGTTTGTTAAGTCAATTGTGAGTATTTAATATGCAACATTAAAAGAAGTGTTTATAAAATAATCGTAATGGATAAAATACGCTGTGTAGATCAAGTATATATGAATATATAAAGCTCTATCACAACAGTATCTTTTTGGAACGAAGGAAACGACACAAGTTCCCCGCTTTCAAAAAAGGATCGGCTCATGAGGCTCAACAATGGATGCAAAGGTACGAGGTTCTGGCTAAATATTTTGGATTTACTGATGATGAAAAATCGGAGGAAATGACAGCAGTTCTTACGGGCGATAGTATGGACTGGTTGATTGGGTTGGACCCAATGATGCTCGTTGATTGGATCAAATTGAAGGAAGCATTTTTCTACCAACACGCGCACGGAATGGTCCCTACTCTCGCTGCTTTAAACGAGTTAAAGAGTTATAAGCAAGGTAACAAACCGATGAAGGAATTTGGCCCAGGTATCACTACACTGCTACAACGTGCTGGGATTTATCAAGCCAACATTCAGCCGGATTACTTGAAAGATCGATTACATCCTCAACTGGAGAAGGCGGTTATCATGAATCGAGCCCAAACTCTGGCAGATGGTATTCACATTGCAACGGAAATCGAACAGTCCTTGGCCAAATCAAAGTTTTCCAATACGTATATGGGTCCCATTACAAATTAATCTTCTGGATCCGAAGGTACTTCAACTTCCGAAGCAGTTAGCAATGATGGTGAGAAAAACTACCAGAATCAACAGCAGCGCAGGTATGGTAACGGTCGAAATTATTATTGTCGTGGTGGATCTCAAGGTGGTGGTGGCTTTCAAGGTGGTGGTGAATGTCGAGGCGGTGGTGAATGTCGAGGCGGTGGTGAATGTCAAGGCGGTAGTGGCTCTTTAGGTGGAAGGTCGTTTGTTAACACAGGTGAAACAAGAACCTGTTTCAAATGTAACAAGGTTGGACCTCTTAAACGGGATTGCCGAGCCAACAATTTCAAGCAAAATAATCAAGAGTTGGAAGCTAATAACGAATCTAATGAACCGGTGGTAATGGAAAATGGTATTTTTTGGCATTCGTTGCAAACCCAAGAGATTATGTACGAAAGTAACAACAACATGAGTGAACATCGTGGCCGTAGAAGATTCAAGATTCCCAATCGATGTGATGAACAGCAACAACAGGTCTTAGTCGATACTGGAGCAACAATTAGCACCATTTCAAAGAAAGTCGCTGAGAAACTAGGCCTACAACAATTTGTCGTTGATACGCAGATCATCCGGTACGGTAATCGAACTGCTCAGTCAATTAATCCGAAGGCAGTGATGGATTTTACTTTCAGCGATCAGGAATCTAGTCGGGTTTATTTACTTGTTGTTGCTGAACAGAACGAAGAGGTAATCTTCTGTATAGATTGGATGGATTACGAGGACATTGTTTTACTACCTAAGGCTAAGGAAGTATACAAGTATAAGAGCACCGAAGAGCAAAACAACAGTGCAGATTTACTGGTTAAAGAAATACTTTCTCGATTTCCTAAACTCACGGATGAAGGCGATCAACAGAACATTACTACAGCTCCTTACAAACATGTAATTGATACCGGCGAAGCAAATCCCACAGTTACACGCAATTATTGTCGTTCCCCAGCTAAAAACGAGGCGATCAAGACTGAAGTAGCAACAATGTTAGCGAAAAACGCGATTGTATCTAGTCAGAGTTATTAGTGTTCCCCAGTCGTGTTGATCAAGACACCGGATGGCAACTTTCGATTCTGTGTTGAATATCGAAACTTGAACAAGGTGACAGTTAAGGACAAGTTTCCATTACCTTTAGTTTCTGATCTTTTAGAAACTTTACGCGGTTATAAATATTTTACCACATGTGATCTTAAGTCAGGGTTTTGGCAATTAAAATTAAGCGAGTCGTCAGCAAAGAAAACGGCTTTTCAGGCTTATAGTTCACTTTACCAATTTGCGTCTATGCCATATGGTGTGGTCAATGGTCCTAGCTCATTCGGTTGTCTCAAGTTCATCGTTCTCAAATGTTTACCTCGGTGTTTGAATTTCATTGAAGACATTATCATCTACAGCAAGACTTTTGAACAATATTAGAAGTATGTTTAACGTATGCTCGAACGACTGGACTCATACTACTTAAATATTCCTAGGAAGAAATGCCAATGGTTCTGCAAAGAGGTGAAGTTTCTTGGATTCTTAGTGAACGGTGAAGGAATACGCTCCAATCCAAAGAAGGTCGAGGTAGTCAAGAACTGGAAAGCTCTAACAAGTAAAAAGTCGTTGCTTAGGTTCCTGGGGTTTGTAGCTTTTTATCATACGTTTATCGACTCGTTGTCTGGTAAGGCCAAACTGCTCTATCACTTACTTAAAAAGGATGTACTGTACCATATGAATGGACTTACGAAGCCAACCAAGCATTTATGGAGCTATGTCGTATTTGACGCCTAATTCTACGAATACAATTACTCTTATCTTGTCACTCAATTATAATACATATAACCTTTGTATTATAAGTACCATATTGCGAATACATTTCTATTGGTACGACACAGTACCAGCTCCCTTATATGTCAAACTGAGATCAGATTTCATAATCGTTCCTGGATTGGTCGAGTAGCTTCCGAATCTTCTAGTTTCTCATAAATTTATTTTAGTAATTCAATCAAGGACCCTGTCATTGAGTGCATAAACTATAATGCTCTGGAAGTGCCGGATATGGGTCAACTAGCTCATAAGCTATGTTTCATATGTAACTGATTTTTAAATCGAATTCTACCTTTTCCCAGTTTGCGGGTAAATAGTCAATTCGATCTGCGCAGGAAAAATCTTGAAGTAATAATTGAATATAAAAAGGACCTCTATTTTTATCATGACAAACTCTCCAACTTACAATAAAGGATTATAGAGTGTCATTTCTTTACTTGCTTTATTTTCTTAATTACTTTTCCCTTTTTATTTTCTCAATTATTACACAGTAGACCTTACATCATTGTCATCTTCATCAAACTCATCAGGATCCAACACCTTTTCCACACAAAAAAAAAGAATTGGGTTATTTCTTTTGGCATGTACTGACACAAAAAAGACCTCAACATTATCGACGTTGCTGGATTGCTGAAATCTTTGTCCTTGAACCATAATCGAATCAGCTCTATTATTTACTGGGATTTCAATTAACTTCTCCTTCGCATGTATTGATATGTCGTATTGTTGCAGCCAAGTCATACCAAGAAGAACTAAGGGTTCACCAGCCGTAGTTACGCTATCTTCTTTGATGACCATGTGTTCGGGCGTACGTTTGCTACCAATTCTACTAGGTACAGAAACTGTAACTTCGCATTCATTTCGTTTACTTCTATCCTTGCTAGTTTTGATGGTTCGGATATGAATTCGATCACCGGTACAAATTAGACCTGGTTTTGTAGCGAACGACTTGCTAATCACACTTATACTACTGCCACTATCTACAATCATCTTGATAGGATTGTCGTTAATAGTACCTAACACAGACAACGGAGACGAACGATCGAGATTAGATCTTGTATAAGGACAATCGTAGACTGTATCATCACTTCTAATGCTGCTTGTGGATTCCGTATTCGAATCTCACGTTTAACTATCGCTATCTATCGCCTCGGAAAAATCGCTTCTATTATCATTCTCTTGCTGTGCATTTATGACCATCGGTGTAGGTTGGATAGGAGCCTTCCCCTTATTACGCGGCTTAGCTCTTCCAGACAAATACCTCAAACCATTCTTCAAATCTTTTTGTGCCGATTTGCCGTTGGCAATCCGATCCTTCAAGCTGATTGGCGCATTGACTTCATCTATCTTATCCCAAAAGAAATAATTTTCTTGGTGACTGATAGTTTTCTAGGTGGAGCTCTTAATTTCTTTACTTGTGAGGTACTTCCAGATACAGCTATAGTGGAAGCATTTTCCAAATTAGTTACATCCGGTATATTACTAAAGGAGGGACCAGCTACTGAGACATTTCACTTATTGTTAACACCAACATTCGAATCAACAGAGCCTTCACCATTATTGCGACTTCTTTTCACAGCAAAGACATCCACTCCATTATCTTCTGCCAATTCCACCAAACAAACAGTACTGACCCCAACGGTGTTCACACCCTTTTAATGTAATGGGCCATTAATAAGCGGTTGACTTATTGATGCCCTTGGACTTTTCCCTGGTTATCAGCAGAGTTTCGTTCACATTGAGCATAATCACGACTATCGCTACGGGGTAATGTTGGTTGGTTGGAATACGTAGCAATTTGGCCTACTTCGCGACAATTGTAACAAGTACGATTATCGACAAGATTATCATTTTGAGGTCTATTATTGATACGAACATGATGGAGATTGTTGACGCTTCCCACAATATTGCTAACAGTATCTAAAGACAATTGCAGATCGTTCATTCCTTGACATACGTTTCTCATGGTGGTTGATAATGAATTAAATGACTTGACACTTTCCGAATCTTCTTGGATATTTTGACGACTTCTTTCAGTGCTCATTGGTAATTCAAAAGAGGATGATTTATGACGACCATACTTCAAGAAAATTAATTCGACTCTCTTTGCAGTTGCTGTAACTCCAGCCCAGTTATTCGACGAAATTCCCAGATCAGTAACCTTTTGGGCGATATCCCTATGGATAGCACGCATAAAGTATCTCGTTCTAGCCGAAGAACCTATAGGTACCCCGAGCATCTCGTACAATTCAAGTAATCGGAACTTGAAATCGTCGACACCTTGATTAGATGATTGCTTCCAATTCTCTAATTCTTCCCACCAAGCATCATGTTGTTCAACTGAATCATATTGACCAGTGAATTCAAATACAAAAGAGTTCCAAGATAATACATCCTTCTCAACAACACCCCACCAAATAGCTGCCGGTCCGGCTAAATAAGAAGAGACAATGAAAATAATTTCTTCGTCACTAAAGGCCATTCCTTTGTGTAATATTTCAACAGATTTTAACCAAGTCATGGGTTTCATGGTATCCTCGCGATTACCATAAAAAATTTTAGGTTTAGAGATAAACTTGCTCATACAAGAAGCAGAAGACGACCCCAAAGAAGACGGAACATTATCCAGAGGACTAGGATTTGATTTCATTGCGAGAAGCAGACATTGAAAGATAATAGAAAGATGAACGGAACCAAGAGAAAAGGGTAACAAAAACAGACGGGTAAAAACAGAAGCAAGAAAATAAATATATAAGACTATTACTGGTATCAATTGAAATATCACGGAGTGGTCTCCAATTTGAAATAGTGTATTTGTACACGAAGTGGTAAATCTCTGTTAAGTAATTTGGAGTAATAGTGGATGACTTCCAAAATACAAAATAGAATTAAATAGAATACAATTAACTTCGGAAATTTGATTTTCCGAGTTAACTTTACTTCTGTTCCAAAACGCTGAATAAAGAATTAACTTTTTTGACCCGTACCATATATGCAAAACTCTACCTAAACAGCTACATTATCAGATGACAATGATGTTTGAATACATCCAGACACCGGTAACCAAGATAGTTTAACTATTATCAATGATGCTCCTTCCGTTCGCACTAAAACCCATCATTTTTATATGCACAGTAGCAACTCACTGTTACTTCTCCTGAAAGGGCAAAAAAGACGGTTCTCAGAAGCGTAAAAGAGCCAAATAAATAAACTGTTTTGATAAATATTATCCATAGATCTCATATTTATTATCTGAATGTTATTAGCGTTTATCAGAAATGAATTATTTAATAGAAAGATGATTTTTTTGTTAATTTTTTTTAATTCGGGGGGGGGGGGCAGGGGGGTCGAATTAACTTCAAAAATTTAAGCGGTGAAATTTAAGGTTAATTCCACGTTACACAACCCAAAAAATTAAGTCTATTCTATTTAATTCTATTTTGCATTTTGGAAGTCATCCAGTAATTGATAAAATAGAATAGATCAAAGAGGTTGTGCAGACTAAAACAATAATAAAGTGCACTGCCATGTTAATAACCTCTAATAATCGAACCATTTTACAGTAATAGGAACCTACGTTAAGATTGACGGGTACTTATTAAAGTGACACAAGACGATCAATCGGAAAGAAACCACACAGGTAATAGTTACAATAACAAATTTTAAAGTAAGAAAAGAATAAGTTTATTAAAGTATAAGAATTCCATGTGTATTTATACTAAATGATCTAATAAGATAATTGTGTTAAGATATGAGTGTTCTCTTGAGTAATTGTAATTGTAACCGAAGCATTTTTAGAGACATTTCAATATTGCCTGAGCTCGAGATAAATTATTTCTTTCCAAATTGAGATATGTGCATAAAATAATAAAATCCGTATGTAAATTCCAATCTGAACTGACTTAATGTTTGAAATGAACATATTTGAGAGAACTTGTAAAACCAACCAGAATGTCTTGACTTGCAAAACCGTATTTGGAGAACAAGCTGTTTACATATCTTCTTGTTGAATAAAATACTTGATGATAAATAAAATAGTGTAAAACGATAATAAAATTGATACTGAAAAGTGTGTACTGAAAATAAAATAAAGTGTTGGATAAAGGTGTTGTAATTGTTGTGTTTTAAGGTAACGTAAAATTATAAAAAGACTATAGAAGTAGTTTGAGACTGTTTTTTCAGATTGTCCTTTATTAATAAATGAAACGTACGAGTATTTATATAAAAGACTGTCTGCTGTGTTCATATCTCTAGTGCTATCTTGAAGTTATCATTGATTAACCAAAAATGTATACGATTATTACATAGTCACTAATTTAGTCTTGTTCTAATAAATGTTAAGTCTTCGTAACTCTCTTTGCTTTAAGCTAAATTTGAAGTATTTCTCAGACGTACTAAATTAGACTTGTGATGTAATATTCTTAAAGTTCTTACTATGACATTTATTGTTAAGCTTATATCACAAATGGTATCAGCATGCATAAACCTTTGTTAGCTCTAATATGGCTATAGCTTGCTAGGTCACCACAGTAATCTTGTAATAAATTGAAAGGTGATATAAAAAGGTGTATAAATGTTGAAAAGGTGTATTCTTTTTAATAAGTGAGGAACGATTATATGAGTACGGTTGACGCGACTTGAAATAACGATAATAGACGATTATTCTCGATAAGGAAAGAGCCAATCTTCATTTAGTTAAACAACCTTCTATATTTCCTTTTACAAACGTTCTAGAAGCTTTTAGTTGATCATCGACGTTTATAACCTCACAGCATATGTCATCTCCCCCAAACTTGAACGTCGATTATCTCTCTTGTCGATCATACCAGCTTTGAAATTGTATCATTGCTCGGGTCACCATTACATCCGGAATCATTCGTTTACTTTCTCTGAATGGTACCAAAATATCACCATGAACAGCATCCTTCAAACGATTTTGATGAGGTCCCAAAAGATGGTAAGTACCAGTAGCAGCGTTGACTTTGATAACTTCGATAGGACCAATAAATTTATCAGCAAACTTCTCAGGAGGGTAATGATCTTTCATTAAGACTTTATGACCAATCTTGAAAAGGGGTCTTGGAACTACTGTCTTGTCGTTCACCACTTTTCGTTTTAATTTCTTGATATCTGAATTTTCTTTAGCAATCAATCTGACTTCGACCAACCAGTTTTCGATTTCCTTTGCACGTCTTGCAATTTCTTCTTCAACTTCGCCAACGATGTAATCATATTTAGGGGGAACCCATGTAGTCGGAGTGCGCATATCATAACCATACAAAAGCATACTAGGAGTGTAACCGGTAGCTTCGTTTGTCATAGTACAAATTGTCATCAGAGCCGCTTGAATATAGTTGTCCCAAGGTTTATTACCATCATCTCTTCTTAATTTTGCCATAGTTTGTACCAGGGTGTAGTTCATTCTTTCAACCTGGCCGTTACTTTGAGGTCTTCTACTAGTACTCATACGATGTGTGCATTCGATTTTGTTTAAATAAGTTTTCAAATAGGTAGATACATAATTGCTTCCTCTATCAGTAATTAGCAAAGATGGAGTACCATGAACGGATACGATATGATCTTGAATAAATTGTTGTGTTGTTTCAGTGGTAGCATCCTTGATAGCAGCAGCAATGGGACATTTCGTCAAATAATCAACAGCAACAATTATGTATTTATTTCCTGACGGTGTTTTTTCTAACGGACCAACAATATCACAACTAACCAAATAAAACGGTCTAGAAGGAGTAGGCACAGGATAACCAGGAGTAACTCTTCGATTTCTTATTTTTCTTCTTGATTGACATGTCATACATGTATCAACTAATTCTTTCACCTTCTTCGATAAGCCTTTGCTCATAAATTGCAATTTCACCTTGTTCCAAGTATTGTTGACACCAAGATGACCTTCATTATGAGCACGTAAGATAGCGTTATCTAACGTTCCTTCGTGTAATAGCTTACGACCGTAGTATTCCTTGTTATCAAATTCTTGAATAACTTTTTCATATAAATGACCTTTGAGAGCCAGATATTATGAACTTTTAAATCGAATAGAAGCCTTGATTGCTTCAGTGGATCCACCAGGAAAAGTTTTTCTTGTAATATAATTATATATCGCAACATACGTAGAGAATTCCATAATCAAAATAAGACAAATAAATTCATTCAGCAATTATAAGAAGGGAATCCAAATCAACTTTTTAAAATCTCAACTGAATATCAAGAATTTAAGTTCTAACCATCAACCATATATCACAAGAAAGCCATACCAGAATATCAACACCATGCAGACAAGTATAGAGACAGCGGAATTTGAAAATTATCATCATGGATTAAAAATTAACACCAGCACATCAACTACCTTCTCATTTAAGTAAAAAATAAAAGATACAGCCGTTTACAGATTCTTGATTATCAACATACTCTTCTACTCGTCCCACAGAGTTTTTACAAATCTCTTACGAATTCATCGAGATATCAACGAATTCAGCGTGACACAAATGGATAAGTTTTCAGCAAATATCAAGACCACAGAAAAGGAAAACCAATTTTAATTAAGGGGCAGATCAAAATAATTTATTCAAATAGATAAAAATAAAATTAACTCTTAGGACTAGAGAAACATTGATCAGGATAACCACCAGAACATAAATTTAGAAGTTTCAACCACCAACAGGTCTTACAGTATTTCGCACCAAAAACGCCTAGAGTGCATCTGCTTTTAGGTGGTACCTAAAAAAAATTTAAGCAGAGACAAATATTTAGATGGGTAAAACACATTTTCCTTATAATTAATATCCCATCTGAAAGGTTAGGATTGTTTTTTATGTTGATTAAAATGAGAATCTACATATATCAATTTAAAAAACATAACAGATTCTGGATTCAACATTTTTTTTTTAGGTGGGGGCAGGGAAAAAATGTCACAACCTGTACAAAAAGGTTTTTGAGCCAATAATAACCTGCCGCTAATATCATTAGCCGTGGTCGGATTTTGAAATAACCCACTGTTTGTGCTCACGGATTTAAAAAACCACGCACAGACTATATAATCGTTAGCAATGGCTTGAAATAACTTCAACCTTCTTTGTGTACTTAGTAGAACTACTTGAATTTTAAAATATACATTAAAACAAATATTCTTAAGATGCGTGACCCTTTTTAAAAATAATTTATCCATTGAAAGGTTCGAAATATTGATCTGAAGTTGTTAAGAGACGGCCTATGAAATCACAGCCGGAGGCTCAATGTCATCAACCCTGAAAAAGGGTAAAAAAGTTTAAACCTTTTTTATGTACTAAGTCGAACAACTTGTAATTTTGAATATATATTATTAAGTATATTCTTAAGATGCGTGACCCTTTTTAAAATTAATTTATCAATTGAAAGGCTTGAAATATTGATCTGAAGTTGTTTTAGAGACGGCCTATGAAATCACAGCCGGAGGCTCAATATCACCAACCCTGAAAAAGGGTAAAAAAGTTTAAACATTTTTTATGTACTAAGTAGAAGCACTTGTAATTTAGAATACATATTATGAACTTTATTCTTAAGATACGTGACTCTTTTTAAAATTAATATATTTATTGAAAGGCTTGAAATATTGATCTGAAGTTGCTCAAAGCCGGCCTATGAAATCGCAGCCGGAGGCTCAATACTACTTACACTGAAAAGAAGATAAAAAAGTTTAAACCTTTTTTATGTACTAAGTAGAATTACTTGTAATTTAGAATGTATATTATAAAGTATATTCTTAAGATGCGTGACCCTTTTTAAAATTAATATATCTATTGAAAGGCTTGAAATATTGATTTGAAGTTGCTCAAAGCCGGCCTATGAAATTGCAGCCGGAGGCTCAATATTACTTACACTGAAAAGAAGATAAAAAAGTTTAAACCTTTTTTATGTACTAAGTAGAATCACTTGTAATTTAGAATATATTTTATAAAGTATATTCTTAAGACGCGTGACCCTTTTTAAAATTGATTTATGTATTGAAAGGCTTGAAATATTGATCTGAAGCTGTTTAGAGCCGGCCTATGAAATCGCAGCCGGAGGCCCAATATTACTTCCACTGAAAAATTTTCTTAAAAAAAAAAAAAAAAAATCCCCCCACATAAAACAAATATGGCTATGAATAAATTTCCTTTTATATTACTTGTACTAGTCGGAGATGAATGCTCAAAAATGTCACAAAACACGTTAGGAACTACTGAAAAGCAGATGCACTCTATGGCTACCACCAACTGGTCTTACAATATTTCGCACCAATAAAGCCATAGATACCCACCAAGACGAAGAGTGAGCAGGACTTACAATATATCACAATAAAGATATAAAAGCCATAATAACCAAGGAACTTAGAGTAATCACCAAAGAACTTGCATTTTTCCACCGGACTTGAATTGCACCAGAAAGATAGTGAACTAATTTCCAGCAGCAAAAGCCATAACAGTTGAGAGACTAGCGTTAACCACCGGACTTACATTGCACCAGAAAGACAAGGTAGTCATTCTCGGAGACAAAAGCCATCTAATTTGATATGATATATAGATTTTTTTGTTTTCTTGTCGATTTTCTACTATTTTTGTTGTTATAGCTTAATAAAAATACACGATGCACCTTCTTCATCAACAATCATCATCACGAATCATCCTTGAGAGACTATCCGCAGGGTTTGGGGAATCTTTTCAAAATCTGAAGATGTACCTTTGACCCATCATAGCAGCAGCCCATCTATGCACCTTTGAACTCGGATTAGGATTCTCAAAAATCCATTTCAATGAAGAGTGATCCGTTTGCAGAATGAACTCCCTCCCAGCTAAGTAATGTCTGAAATATTTTACACCCCAAGTTACGGCGTACGCTTCCATATGACTTGCAGTGAACTTGTTTCCTTCATTCTTCCTGAGACTCCTAGAAGCATATGAAACTACTCTTTCATTTTCATTACTTCGGTCCGGGCTTTGTGACACAATAACACCTAGACCTTTACCAGACCCATCAGTAGTCAATATAGTAACTTGAGCAGGATCGAAATAAGCCAATACCGGAGCTCTAGTGATATTTTCTTTCAATGTCTCGAAAGCTTTTGTTTGGGATGGAGATAAAATGTAAATTAAGGTGACAAAAGAAAATACTGTTAGAACTGTGTATATCTTTTATTTCGGGAAAATTTAGATTAGGGAATTCTACTAGCAAAAACTACAGGTATTTATACTAAATGATTAGATGGCTTTCGGATAATATATGTGACGCGTTAGAGGAATATGATATAATGTTATACGTAATGTCTGTTTAAATAAATATGTTATGAAGTAATTCCTGCCTTACAAAGTAAAGACAAAAGTACGTGAGGATCTAAATTCATCTCCGCAGGTGACATTACGTAAATGCCAAAGAGAAAGTTTAGTGCGTGTAATATTCAGTAATCGAATATTCCGCCTATAGGATTGTACTATACTTTTGTGGTATTATAATATTTTACTCGTCACAAGGCGAATCACCTTGTGCACAGACACCAACGGTTCTGATGATAACAAATGGGGCGAAGTGTGAGCCATGAATATTTATACATGATCATCCATTATTATGTAAAATGTGATGATTCTTTTATTATAATCTATGACATCCTCAACAGCTTTCATACACGATTCATCGAAGTAGAATTTCACACCTTTCTTTAATAATCTAGTTAACGGCATTGCGATTCCAGCGAACTTATTCTGAAATTTCCTATAGTAACCAGCTGTTCCCAGAAAAGACTTGATCTCAGATGCAGACGTTGGTGGAGGCATCTCCTGTAGTTTTACGATATTTCGATCGGTTGGTGACACACCTTCGGCACTGATTACATGTCCCAGATATTCGATACTTGACTTGCAGAATTCAGACTTTGACCATTTCAACTTCAAATTGTATTCTTCAGCAAGGTTAAATAAAATTTCTAAATGTCGAACATGATCTTCGTAAGTTCTCGAGTAAATACATATATCATCCACAAAAACTTGGAAACATACACCAATATATTTAGATAAGATATTTGTGATGGCTCGATTGAAGTTCGCCGGAGCTGCTTGATAACCAAAACCCATACGTAACATTTCGTAAGTACCATACTTGCAAATAATACCGGTATACTTGATTGATTCTTCGCCAATTTTTAACTGATTAAAGGCACTTGATGCATCCATCATCGTGAAGTATTTAGCACCATGGAAAGAATCCAAAAGTTCTTGAATATTTGGCATGAGGTAATCATCAGGAACACACCTTTTATTCAGTTGCCTCATATCAAAGATGAGTCTTAACCCACCAGTACGTCTCTTGATAAAAAATATGGGACTAGTAAAACTTCCAGAAGATGGTCGTATTATTCCCAATTTCAACATTGATGCCAGTTCCTTCTTCCAATATTGATCTTCTTCCCATGTTAACGGATAAGCTTTAGACCTAACTGGAGTAGCACCAGGTTTCAAAGTGATGTTAAATTCAGCACCCTTGATACACCCAAGACCACCGAATTCTGCAAATTGATTTTTGTTTTTCCTAACCAAGATTCCAATTTCTTCTGGTAATTTCTTTACGGCTTCTTCAAAGGATAACTCGAGATCAACTTCGGGATTTACTGTCACACCCGAATCAGGGTCCAAATTGTACCTGAATTCATTATTCTCCTCTGGTACCGCTTCATCCAAGTAACTAATGATTTCATCTGGAATATCAGAATGAATATTCTCTCCCATGACCGCCACACCATCACCAGAGATACCTCGACTCGAATCATTGCTGATCGATGTAACTGCATCGGTATTGTACACGGAACAACCAGTAGATTTTACATCATTGTCGTCCTCATCATACTCATCATGATCCAACACCTTTTCCACACAAAAAGAAAGAATTGGATTATTTCTTTCGGCATGAACAGACACAAAAAAGACCTCAACAATATCAACATTACTGGATTGATGAAACCTTTGCCCTTGAACCATGATTGAATTTGCTCCATTCTTTACTGGGATTTCAACCAATTTCTCCTTCGCATGTATCGATACGTCATATTGTTCCAGCCAAGTCATACCAAGAAGAACCAAGAGTTCAACAGCCGTAGTTATACTATCTTCTTTTATGACCATATGTTCGGGCCTAAGTTTCCCACCAATTCTAATAGGTACAGAGACCGTAACCTCGCATTCGTTTTGTCTCCTTCTATCTTTGCTAGTTTCAATAGTTCGGATATGAATACGATCACCGGTACAAATTAGACCTAGTTTCGTAGCGAACGACTTGCTGATCACACTTATGCTACTGCCACTATCCACAATCATCTTGATAGGGTTGTCGTTAATAGTACCCAACACAGACAACAGAGACGAACGATCGAGATTAGATCTTGTGTAAGGGTAATCGTAGACTGTATCATCACTCCTGATGCTGCTTGTAGATGTGTCCGAAGTTGTGGATTCCGTATCCGAATCTGATACTTAACTATCGCTGTCCATCACCTCAGAAGAATGACTGCTATCATCATTCTCTTGTTGTGCGTTCATGACCATCGGTGTAGGTTGAATAGGAGCCTTACCCTTTTCACGCGGTTTAGCTCTTCCTAACAAATACCTCAAACCGTCCTTCAAATCTTTTTGAGCAGATTTGTCGTTAGCAATCCAATCCTTCAGGCTAATGGGTGCATTAACTTCATCCATTTTATCCCAAATAGAAATAATTTTCTTGGTGACTTTTAGTTTCTTAGGTGGGGCTCTTAACTTCTTCACCTTTCCAGTACTTTCAGATACAGCTGTAGTGGAAAGATTTTCCAAATTAATCACATCCGGTATATTACTAATAGAGGGACCAGCTACTGAGACATTTCTCTTCATGCTACTTCCAACATTCGAATCAACAGAGCCTTCACCATTATTACGACTTCGTTTCACGGCAAAGACATCCACTCCATTATCTTCTCCTTCCAATTCCACCAGACAAACAGTACTGACTCCAACGGTGTTCACACCCTTTTGATCTAATGGGACATCAATAAGCGGTTGACTTATTGATACCCTTGGACTTTTCGCTGGTTATCAGGAGAGTTTCGTTCAGGTTGAGCATTAGATGGCGGAGGAGCATAATCACGACTATCATTGCGAGATAATCTTGGTTGGTTGCAGTACGTAGCGATATGGCCTACTTTACGACAATTGTAACATGTACGAATATCGACGCGATTATCATTTTGAGGTCTATCGTTGATACGAATATGATGAAGATTGTTGACGCTTCCCACACTATTGCTAACAGTATTTAAAGACAATTGCAGATCGTTCATTTCTTGACATACGTTTCTCATGGTGGTTGATAATGAATTAAATGACTTGACACTTTCCGAATCTTCTTGGATATTTTGACGACTTCTTTCAGTGTTCATTGCAATTTCAAACGAGGATGAGTTATCACGACCATACATCAAGAAACTTAATTCGACTCTCTTTGCAGCTGCTGTGACTCCAGCCCAATTATTAGATAAAATCCCAAGATCAGTAACCTTTTGGGCGATATCCCTATGTATATCACGCATAAAAAATCTTGTTCTAGCTGAAGAACCTATAGGTACACCGAGCATCTCATACAATTCAAGTAATCCAAACTTGACATCGTCGACACCTTAATTAGATGATTGCTTTAAATTCTGTAATTCTTCCCATCAAGCATCATGTTGTTCAACTGAAGCATATTGACCAGTGAATTCAGATACAAAAGAGTTCCAAGATAATACATCCTTCTCAACAACACCCCACCAAAAAGCTGTCGGTCCGGCTAAATAAGAAGAGACAATGAAAATAAATTCTTGGTCACTAAAGTCCATTCCTTTGTGTAATATTTCAACAGATTTTAACCAAGTCATGGGTTTCATGGTATCCTCGCGATTACCATAAAACATTTTAGGTTTAGAGATAAACTTGCTCATACAAGAAGCAGAAGACGACCCCAAAAAAGACCGAACAGTATCCAGAGGATTAGGATTGATTTCATTACGAGAAGCAGACATTGAAAGATAATAAAAAGATGAACGGAACCAAGAGAAAAGGGTAACAAGAACAGACGGGTAAAAACAGAAGCAAGAAAATAAATATATAAGACTATTACTGGTATCAATTGAAATATCACGGAGTGGTCTCCAATTTAAAATAGTGTATTTGTACACGAAGTGGTAAATCTCTGTTAAGTGATTTGGAGTGATAGTAATTGATAAAATAGAATAGATCAAAGAGGTTGTGCAGACTAAAACAATAATCAAGGGCACTGCCATAATAACCTCTAATAATCGAACCATTTTACAGTAATAGGAACCTACGTTAAGATTGACGGGTACTTATTAAAGTAACACAAGGCGATCAATCAGAAAGAACCACACAGGTAATAGTTACAATAACAAATTTTAAAGTAAGAAAAGGATAAGTTTATTAAAGTATAAGAATTCCATGTGTATTTATACTAAATGATCTAATAAGATAATTGTGTTAAGATATGAGTGTTCTCTTGAGTAATTGTAATTGTAACCGAAGCATTTTTAGAGACATTTCAATATTGCCTGATCTCGAGATAAATTATTTCTTTCCAAATTGAGATATGTGCATAAAATAATAAAATCCGTATGTAAATTCCAATCTGAACTGACTTGATGTTTGAAATGAACATATTTGAGAGAACTTGTAAAACCAACCAGAATGTCTTGACTTGCAAAACCGTATTTGGAGAACAAGCTGTTTACATATCTTCTTGTTGAATAAAATACTTGATGATAAATAAAATAGTGTAAAACGATAATAAAATTGATACTGAAAAGTGTGTACTGAAAATAAAATAAAGTGTTGGAAAAAGGTGTTGTAATCTTGTAATAAATTAAAAGGTGATATAAAAACGTGTATAAATGTTGAAAAGGTGTATTCTTTTTGATAAGTGAGAAACGATTATATGAGTGTGGTTGACGCGACTTGAAATAACGATAATAGAGGATTTTTCTCGATAAGGAAAGAGCCAATCTTCGGCCCCTCACAAGCACACAAAAAAAATTTTAATGGTCCAAATATAGGACTTTTTTTTCGTTGTCCTTTTTTTTTTTTTTTTCGGTGAAATGTTACATCAGATTCCATTTTGAATGATTAAAAAATTAATGTTACAAAAAGAGATAATTATAAAAAAGGTCGAAAAATTTTCAGTGCAAAAAAAAAGGAATTATCCAAATAAAGGATTAAAATCTGACAGTACTAAAAACCCTTCTATTATTTGAAAAAAAACCCAAAACGGACTACTGAATTCACGATAATGTTTTTTTTTCTAAAATAAATTTTTATTTGCAACCCCTTCTCGTTTTTTCTCTCTCTCTATCCTTTTTATCATCCAATTTAAAAAAAAAATGAGTTTCCAAAATTACACCAGCGAAAACTTTGTCAACGGTTTTAACGGCAACACCCAAAGGGGTCGACCCAGAGCCAACAGACCAGCACCTGCCAGACCTGATGTACCTGTCACATCAAATGCTGCCCCGGTACCTACTACCCCTGCTACCCCTACCACTGCTTCTACAGCTCCTACAGCTCCTACTCCTCCCAATCCTCCTACTAACCCCACTGCTCCCACCGATGCAAACTTACCTGCTTCTTCTGAAGCACCTGTTTCTTCTGGAGCAGCTCCAGCAACTCCTTCCGAGTCTGCTTCTTCTGATGGCGCAACTCGTCAATCATCTACTGGCAGAAATTGGGACGCACCTAGCACGTACGTTTTGATTGAGTTGTTTAGAGACTATGCCATCCAAATAACCAACACCTCGTCTACTGAGGAAAAGGACCAACTTGACGCTGCAGTTTTGAGAAACTTTAACAATCATGAAGCTGTCAATGTTACCAGGAGTGTTACCTCCATGAAGAACAAGTGGAATGATATGATTGCATCCTACAGAGAAAAACGAGATGCAGCTAGAACTACTGGTAGTGCTCCTCTTCCGCACTGAGAGTTTTATGATGCCATGGAAGATGCAACGACCCTTATAGCAACGGTCAACCCACACGTGCTATATAGTTCATTTTCGGGTGAAACTGTTGATAATCGTGAGCAACACACCTCTGGTAGACGTAGACGATTCACAGTAGAAGATAATGATGATGTGGAGGAGCCTGTGACTAGACGACCTCGAAACGTTGATGTGTCTGTCTGGTTTATGGCAAACCGTATGGAAGAAATTGACGAAAGTGTGGTATTTGACAAAATATTACATAGAAAAGTAATGAGATAAAAGTATATTTTTATTAGGGGTAAAAATAGACTAAAAGAACTCTGCTGCTATGAAATAATTGATCCTTTTTATATTGCACAACTCTCCTGAGTTTTAATGATGAGTCAATCTTTCTGGTTTTGGAATAGATCTATACTTTGTTTCCCGCCTTGGGTTAAATGGATACTACTCCTTAGAATTGTTTCCAGATAACGTTGTCCCATATCAGTGGATCGGGAGCATGAGTATGCTAATAAATCTTTAGTATTACGAGATACTTATTTATCAGATCATACAACGGTTACTGTAAAAGATGCATACTTGTTTGTCAAGTGTAATTGGCAATAGAACATAATAGTTGATCATTTATTTATTATCTTTGTAACGAGATCGCGGCCCCAGCCCACTTCGGTAATTTTTTGACCTTCGCTTCGCTACGGTAAAAATAACCTACGTTCCTGCTGGGGGCGATCTCGCGCCTGCAGCGGGCCACCGACGCCACTCAGTGTTTATAAATGGGATAAAGATAGATTTTATTGATAATGAATATTTTATGTTTAATTTTGTGTTCGAGTTAATACTTCTGTAAATACAACGTTGTCTGTGAGTGTTGATAATGGCGGCTCTTTCAGTAAGATTACTTTGAGATTAGCAGGGTTACGAACCCGTGATAAAGCAACATAAAGTTGACCGTGCGTGAAAACGGGTTTGATCAGACAAATTGCTGCAAAAGAAAGAGTTTGGCCTTGTGATTTGTTTATAGTCATTCCAAATGCAGGTTGCACTGGAAATTGACGTCGACGGAGGGTGAATGGCAAGTTGGCATTATCTGAAGAGATCAAAATGATCCGAGGAATCAAAACAATGAGACCTGCTCTATCGCCAACAGCAATCTCAGCTTCGATTATGTTTCTTGTAAAATTTCGACAAATAAGTCTTGTACCATTACAAAGACCCTCGGCAGGGTTGATGTTTCTGAGACACATAATTGGCTGGAATCTTTTTAATACTAATTTATGTGGAGGCATGCCGGAAGGTTTGATTGCATTGAGAGACTCAACCGGAAAATTAGCTGACCCAGAATTTTGGGTTTCCTCGATGGAATCGTCGGAAAGGTAACCCATAGATATTCCGGGTAATTTCTCTGTTGCCAATTCATTGATTTCATCAACTGTCGTGTTGTGAGCTGCAAGGATGGCTTTGCTGACAATGAAATCTCGATTTCGGTACAGATTTTCATCACTTAATGCATCACCAAAAACATTATCAACAACCTCCTTGATTGATTCAGCGTATGATACAATTGTTGCAGGAATTGACACATATTGATCGTATATCTGCTGACGACCCTCACCCACTCCCAAAAGATAATCTTGAAACGGCGTACCGTCATCCAGAATAGAATCTGATGTTAGCCGCATATTTCTCAATAACCGCAAGACCTTGCAGTCCCTGAACAGGACCGAATTGGTCACACACGCATTGATGATATCAGATCGGGAA